CATCTTGCGCTTCTTCCGCTCCATATACGTCTGCCACGCCCTTACCAGCCCCGGCTCGGGCGTCGAGTCGTGGAAGTCGATGGCGCCGGCTGCGATGCGCCGGCCGTAGAATTGCCCCGGCACGGGGCCCAGCTCCAGGTGGCAGAGGAACCAGTGGGCGCCTGGGGCGCCCGAAAAGCGCGCCAGCACCCACTCGCCCGCGAACGAGGTCCAGGTGCGGCTCTTGAGATGAAGGCGATCATGCGTCCGACGAGGCGCTCTTCTTCCGTGGTGCCTTTGTCGGGGTCGGTGGGGGTGTTGGTGGTTGCGTCGGGTGGGTTGGCGGGATTGGGGGCGGCGGCGTCTTCTTTTGCGGGGGTTGGGGTGGTTGTGGTGGTGTTGGTGACGGAGAGGGTGTGGAGGATTTTGGCGCTGCGTTTGTCGCCCTTGCCTTTGTCCTGCTCCTGTAACACCCGGGCGCCCACGGACTCGATGACGTCTAGCTCCTGCTCTAAGATGCGCCTTTCACAGGCGAAACTGGTGATCACCCTGGCAAAGCCGGTGCTGATGGAGCACCAGCCCGATATCTTGTCGTGTGGACCGGCTGCTTTGGCAATTTGTCTCCGCAGCTTCTCGGGGTCGATCATGGTCACGACAACGCGCTGGATGTCGAAGAGTCCCTCGATACCGGAGTTGTTGACAATGATGGGGTTGGGCGAGATGGTGTTGAAATCTTGCCTTTCGAAGGAATCCTTTTCGGAGCCATGGCGCTGGGCAGTGGGTCGTTCACTTTTGTCAAGGTCGAAGTTGATCGATTGGAGCTCGGGTGGGAGAGTCTTGTTCAGTCTTTCGGCTGGCGTAACAGCGAGATAGTCCATCACTTGTCCGTCGAAGTCCTGCCAGGAGGGCTGTGCCGGGGGCCTGTCAACTGCCGCATATGGCGGTGGCGGGTCGGACATGACATCAGGACTTTCTGAGGCCTGAGGTGTCGCGGGAGCCTCGACTATTGCCGGCTGCTCCTCCACGGTTGAACTTTCGCCCTTTTTAGAGAATCCAAAAGAAGAGCTTTTCAGCCCCTTTCCCAGCCCGAACTTTGATGCCTTCTTGACTGAGCCCGAACTCTCCTCAACCTTCTTGGGAGATGCCGAGCTCATGAACCCAGACAAAGATAGAGAGGGCGCCGACAGAGACGTCACTGAGGGAATGGTGGGCATCTTCAGTAGTGAACTGCCCCTCTCGGGTGGAGGAGAGGCCGCAGATTCGGCCAACTTTGCTGCCTTGGCCTTTGCCTGCTGCTCCAACCTTTCTCTTCTGCAATACTCTCTGACGTATGCAACAATCTTTTCAAATCCCTCTTGCTGTGGCTTGAGCTCTCTGAAGCCATTTAAACGGACAATCTGCACTATCCGCTCAATCCAGTTGATCGGGAGGCTCTTGCGTTCCTTGTCTTTGAGGGAATCGATAGCGCTTCGTAAGGTCCGGATGACACTATGATATGTCGTCATGACATCGTCCATCTTGTCCTGGACCCTCGCAGCAAGAAGGAAATTGTATCGCCTGCCGCGGTCGACTTGTTTTCCGTACGCCCGGGGGGAGGAAGGGTACATCGACCTGCCCCGGATGGGGCTACCCATTTCCATCCCAGTCCAGTTGAACACGGAAATGTCGTTACGGCTTATTACCACCTCGTCGAGCAGCCGTGTCAGGGCTTTGGTGGAGCCTTCGGCAGCAAAAGTAGGAAATCGAACGTCCAAAATGCCCATCAACGCGTACGACTTGTCGGTTTCAACAGTAGGCCGTTCGCGTTCCGGACAGCTCCAACACGCTCTGAGCCGAGAATCCAGCTCGGCTTGTGCCTCGTATCCATGCTGTAAGTTTGCTGAATATGTCCGAACTCAGCAATCCATTGTCGATCTGCGAGAACGAGATCCTCAGTTTCAGCGACCAGACACTGAAGTATAAAGTTGAGGGCGTGCTGCGCGACCTCCTCGGTTCTCTCTTGTTCGCTCATATCTTTGGGGAAAGCCGTTAGATCCGGTTCTGGGAGGCATTTCTTGAGTCTCAAATAGTGTTCTCGCTGCCGCTTGGCATTCTCGTTGTCGCCGGCCAAGTCAGCCGAGGCAAGGTACACGGCTCGAGTCACTTCAGAAGTTGCCGTTTCCATGGTGAGGCTGCCCGGAATCCGAACACCAAGGACATCGAGAAGAGCGATCAATTGTTGAGCCGTCTCAACTCTGGAGACCTCGCTGAATGCTGTCCCCTTTGTTGGAGACCCCCCGACCTGGATGTTCTTGCGGAAGCGATCAAGCCGATCCAAGCTTTCTGCGTTGCCCAAGACCTGTGTGAGATTCTCTGAGTCCCAAAACCCCCGGGTCTCCTGACATGAAAAGCGGTAAATGTTCCTGGTGTCACCACCCGTGTAAAGTGCGATGAAGGGGATCAGATAGTAAAAGTACCCCAGGCTTTCCACCGGCCGGCTCAGGGGGGACCATAACGAGTTGACGTAAAAGGTTGTTTTGCTCATGACCAACTCCTGTAAAGTCCAAGCCCGCGTCGACCACTCCGGTGCCTTTGGTCCGTACTTCTTGATGTCCCTGAAATCCTGGATATTGGGTGGCTCATCAAGCGGCTGCTTGTTCCTGCGCTCCGCCTGAAAGCGGTCCCAATCCTTGACGGCATCCTCCTCATTAAAGCGAGTGTCGAGTTGCACCAGGGTGAATTCAGCATCGGCGTACCAATCTCCCATGAGCGACAGGGATTCAGAAAGCTCCCCTCCGTTTGACTTGTCAATGCAGCATGGGTCCGTCCACAAATAGCACTTCTCGCGGTCTCGGAAGAGCTTGGTCTTGAAGATGCGGTCGGCTTCTTGAATGGCCCGGTCGATTTTGATGACCGACTTCCACCTCTGCAGACGGCAAACCATCTCATCAAGTGCATCGCGCAGACGAGGATGCCGCTGGAAGTACTCAATGTCAATCTTTGCCGAGTCATGCTTATCCTGCGCTTTCTTGAGCGTGCCCGCAGCTGCCATGATCTCGGCTTCGATCTCGGTTATGACCTCGCCGCCCAGGTTTCCCCCACTCGGTCGATGAGCAGAGGCCTTGTGAGTCTCAGATTTCCCCAAATGCGCCTCCATCTCCTCGTCCACCCGATCCTGCATCTGGTTGACAAGATGGCTGAATATCTTTTGTTCCATTTTTGCAAAGCGTAGTTTGGTTGTTTTCTTGTCTTCGTCGTCCTTTGCGCTTCCGAGCTTGTACTCAACACTGCGTACGTCAAGACGGCGGCTTAGGAGGTCGCCAATATTGAGTGGCACTGCTTCCTCCCCACCTAACTCCTTGATCAAGCCCTCCTGTTCTTCAATATCCAACCGGCATTGGTCCACAGCCAACTGCACATCGCTCTTCCTCTTGTTTTGCAGACTCGTCTGTCCATTTCGAGCCGCCTCCCTCGCGCGCTCAAGCTCCTTTCTCCGGGCGTCTCTGATGTAACTGAGTGATACTTCGACGCCTTTCCACCGATGAGACAGCATGCAATATTGACCACGAACACCGATTGCCGGGTACTCCACCAAGTTGCCCGTCTCGATGTCAAACATCCGGTACGGGCGCTGTCCGGGCGGCAGGTCCGCAGTCCCAAGGAACTCGACGTCCCGTAAACCGGCGACGGCGTAGTCTCGGTCTTGCACAAAGCTCGGCTTGGCCCAGGGAGTAAACCAAAGATTGAGTAATGCTCGCAACTTTTCGGGACTCTCGCCGAAATCTTTGAAGGTTTTGGCCAGCGTCTCGGGGTTTAGGTCCGCCATCTCAAGCACCTTGGACATGGCATTGGCTTGGATCTTGGCGGCATCTAACGAGAGCGCCATTTTGGATGTATTCCCGTTGTCTTCAAGGGGTAGACTTGGTGACTATTTGGTAGGTGGATGGTTCGGGTAAGACGTGGAAGTTGTTGAAACCGGTGGTTGGATTTGCAGTCTCAGGGGCTCAAGTGGTATGACATTTGCTTGGTCAACATGTTTCTGAGCCCTAAAGTGAAATATTAAACACAAAGATATGGTGCTGTGAGGACCTCCCCGAACGGCTGAAGACAGCAATTAATCAAGCTTTCTGGGTGGTGCAACCAAGCACGAACTCTGGCAGCGGCCAATAGAAGATCTACCTCTTCTCCAGGCCTGCATGTAGCGTATCACAGACGTTGATCAGGGCCATGGGATGTCTCGGTCAACCAGTAATCTTCAACGCCCGCACTCCCAACTTGCCGTTCAGCTGCCATCGCGCAAGCCCTAATCCAATGGCTCTTGAGCATCTTCAGAGACTCACTACTGCATCTGGAATGGGCTTGATGCCCAATGCCCGGAGAGTCGCACCGACCAGGGGGCGCGGGGAAGTGAGGTCCCCGTGTCCGTTGTGCGTCGAACCAGCAATACAGATGGCCCTCCATTATCCCCGGCTGAGAGGACCTATCGGAAACTTTGACCGCACAGCCATTTGGGCTCTCGATAGACGTTGCTAACAGTGTTGTCCGTCGGTTCTGGGGATACCAACCTACCCCTTAGCCCACTCCGTCTCTTCTCCGGCCTAGATTTCTTGATACCTTCTTCACTTGCCTCCCCTATCCGACATGGCATCATACCATCGAGTGCTCGGCGTACACGGTCGATCTGTCAATCAAAAGAGCGTCGAGTGTGATTAGTGAGCACCTCGCAATCCCAAAAGACGTGACCGGCGTGTGTCTAACGCTAGCAGTGACATCCACCCATGGGATATCTTGATCAATGGCGAGAGATGGGCTGGCAAGATTCGACTTGTGGGATTTGTGGACTCCTTCTTCCTCATTTGCTATTCGGGCCAGTCCCGGTTTGAGCATGGGATTGTGGTATACAGTACGCATTGGTGAATTTCAACTGACGAGCACGAGCTGATCATATCCCAGAGGACGATGATGCCATTCGAGGTACCTTGCAGAGGGCCGGGGTGGACGCTGCAGAGATCGAACTGAACGTGGTGAACAAGAGCAAGGTTGAGGCTGAAGGCAGCACGGGTACGTTCCTGATTTTTGACGGGGGAGAAAGGAAACATCAGGCTGATGCCGTATTGGATCCAGAGCCGCCAAAGTATTTCCAATTTGAGAGCCAGAAGGGCGGGCTCGACTACCAAGTCACCAGTCTTGGCCATTCGATTGACCTGAAGACCGAGTACCCCAGATCATCGTTGAAGAAGTACGAGATCAAACTCCGAAAGGGCAGGGACATGGTGATGAAGAGTACGTACCTTGCAGCGACTAACTTAATGGTCATGGCATCGAAGGGATCTAACACAAGCTGCGCGTTATAGAAAGGACCAAGCGCGGCGTCAGCCAGCATGACTTGTTCGATCTCATGTATGACGCCGTGCGGCTCGGCATCATCACGCACGCCGAGCTGGTCGGAGTCATCATTGGCAAGACATACGGGGGCACAGCCTTGGAGGATGTCACTTCCAAGTACTTTGACGGGCTTGGCGGCGGAAAGGGGGCTAATAGTTTGTCGTTGTCGGGTGAGAGGGCATCGTAGATGGAGGTTCAACAAACCTGAAAGGGGTGACTAGAGGTGAAGCTAAAGGGTATGTATTGCATGTAGCAATTGTCAGTCGTATAGTACAGCACACCCAACAACTACATCCACCAAGTAGTCCCCTTCCCAAATCTAACACTCCTTCACCAACTGCACCTGATACCCCACCGCCTCGACGCCCTTCACCCTCCCATCCCCCCCGACCCCAAAAACAAAATGATCCCTCGCCCCAAACTCAAACGTCGACCGATCCATCATCGCCCACGTCACGCACGAATTCATCCCCCACGCAAACAACCCATCCTGCTCCCTCACCTGCTCCGCCGTCGCCCGCGTCCCCACCGCCCTCCACGACGTCTCCCCCTCCGCCCCCGTCGACGCCGGGTACAGCCGATACCGCATCGGCGGGTCCAGCACCGGCGCCGTCGCCGGCGGCAGCGTGCTCCCCGGATCCGTGCGCGGGACGTCGACGCCGCGCATGATGTACCGCGTGATGGCGATGCCCGGGCCGTCGTCGTCGTCGTCGTCGGCGGCGGCGGTGAGGGAGAGGGTTAGGGTGGAGTTGGTGCGCTTGTCGGTGTAGGTGCCGGCGTAGGCTGCGGCGGTTTCGGACTTGCCGGCGGCTTCGATGGCCGGGAGGAGGGGTCTGGATGATGCGTGACATCATGAGGGTCATGGTGGTTTGGGAGCCTCGGTGGGGCCGGCGGGGGCCGGCGACCAGGAGGGTGAGGCACCAGGTCGTAGTCGGGAATGAGGACCAGTTTGGGGAGTGTGTAGTTGATGAGGTCGCCCGTTTTGGTGTAGAGTTTCGATGAGTCGGCCCGTCCGTAGGTGATGTTGGAGGCGTGGTAAGATCTCCCAGGGTTGGCTCATTTGGAGGGCGGAGGAGGAGGTGGCTGTGACGGGCTTCATCCATTAGCGGGTTTGGACGGGCGGGAGTAGCTTGTATTGGAGGATGGCGTCGCCGAAGCGGTGGAGGTCGTTGATGGTGGAGTAGTAGCCGCCCGCGCCGGGGGAGGGGGTTAGTTGGGGGGTTGTGGGGCGAGGGAGAGGGGGTTGGCTCTCACGGGCCTTCGAAGCCGAGATCAGCAGTCCACCAGACTGTCGTTGACGGGAATGAAACCTAGAGAATCGTCATCGGGCTTGGTGGCCGAGGTACGCGACATGTTGGTGGGCTTCCAAATCTCGTTGGTCACATATTCGGTGAAAGATTGGTTGGTTATGGCCTCGACGGCGAAACTGAGGATGGGGAAGGCGATGTTGGAGTACACGGTCTGGGGCGAGAATGGGACCTGTGCCGGGGGCCGCTGCCCAAAGTGCTCGAAGAACACTATCACACGTTAGATCCAATTGTGTCGTTGTCTGTTAAGGGTGCCTACCAGTCTTGTTGCACCCGGGCATCCCGAAAAAGCCAGAGCAACCAAGGAAGTTGGAGCTGTTTGCTTTTGGGTAGCCATACGCCGACAAATCACCGAACGGAGCAATATCGGTGATGTCTATCATCGTTAGCCAAGGTCAAGGGGAGATATCAACCATCATAGCAACACTCACAGTCAGAAGGAATGCCAGCCCATGTGCGACGCCAGCGCCCCCAAAGTAACATCATCCCACTCCACCACCCAGATCGGATTATCCTCCCTTGCCTGACTTCTAAGTGTCCTCAACTCGGGCACATACTTCGTGATGGGGTCATCAAGGCTAACCCCCTGGTCCTTAAGCTTGAGCAACGCCAAGACAGGGAACACCTTGGTCAAGCTCCCCAGGCGGAAGATGGTGTCCAAATCGACCTTCTGCACACCCTTCTTGTCCTTGTTGGGCGGTGTGTAGGTGTATTCGAAGAGCAGATCGGGTTCGTGGATGGATTTGACGCCAATTGCTACCGCAGTGGTGTTGTAGGTTGATGTCATCTGGTTGAGGGATATCCTGGAGGGCGGCCACGGCCACCGGTACTGCTTCATGTTTGCTGGGTTGTTTTGGGGGCGGGGAGAACGGGACCCAGAGGAGGGCAGTGGCCGTTAAGGGCTGCGAGAGCCCCTGTGCCCAGGCACGAGAGCAAGATTGAACTGATCTTCAACATCTTGGAACGTGCGCCAGTTCAGGGAAATGGAAGAAGGCGTTTATGGAATGGGGATGGCAAACCATCAAGGCATCATGATACCGCGCGCGATGGCCGCGTCTTATACACGAACAGCGGTGATATCACCCCAATGTCCAACCTGCATGCATACACCTCGCATGAGCCTCATCTTGCGTCGCCATCGTCACGTCGTGAGCCACACAGCCTCCAAATCAGGCACACTGTTGATCATCCAACTACAGATTGGAAAACAACACGCTACAACCCAGCTGGTTGGGACGCGGTATTGCGGCGTTCACTGTGATTCGCTTGCTCGGAACACACATCGCCAACAGTGCACCAGGGGTTCGAAGCCTTCAAAAAAAACATGGCCCGGAGTTGGTGGCTTGCTGGGGCTCTGGAAAACCCAACGGCACTCGCGCCCGATCCAAACCTCGGCCGTGGGATCAAAGGGGGCGGGTCTGGCTTCAGATCATCCCCATACTAGCTTCAACGGCTTAGACCGACTGCGACGTGGCTGCTAGGGAGGACGGGGCTGAGGGGCCCTTAATTGACGTCAACGACCCACAGCTCGCACACTGCACGTGACTGAAGCCGAGAATCATACTGAGGGCGGAAGAACCCGTGGTTGACATTAGGCAACGATATAGCAGGGGCATGGTATGGTAGAAGACCCGGTAAGCAACGCAGGGATACAGGCTCGCTCCTGGGATGTTGCATTATGCGGTGAACATCCTAGTACTTCTGCTCTTCCCCCGGGGCATGAGCCCCAGGACCACCACGGCCCAGCGGCTCGAGCAACAATGCTGGCTTTCCCTGGCCCCAGCTCGCAGGCTAGACCAAAATAAAGCAGACCAAGCCATCCCCCCACCCGCATCCCGATCTTCGGGACGGAGAATATCGCTGTCTCTCCCACCCAACCCACAATCATTCGAAAAGACGCCGTCGCTATGCAGTTTGTCTCGTGCAGCCTGGATCCGAAATTCTGTTCGCCAACGCCTGCCAGTAGTTACTCAACACGCACACGGCCTAGTCCTCCTTCTTGGTCAACGCCCACCAGAACAACATGGCATACAATCCAGTCCACAGACTAAGGATTGCAACCAGAAATGGGAGAAACCCTTCACCCACACGCACAGTGCAACTCTAATAATCATTGCCACATGACTCATATTCCACCGATCCAAACCAGGATTGATGAGCCCAACGCTTGATCTGGGGGCGCGGTGGCACACCGTCAAGATCTCCGGCGCCAGCCTAATTGCCGGGACGCAAGTCACACACCTCGAACTCCAGGGTCTTCGACTCATAAACGTGGCCCTGTGGGTGTCCGGCCTCGACATACAGGTTGTCGACGGCGTGGTGATGAAATGTCTCGGTTCTTTGACAAGACAGGATGTGCGGGAGCCCGGGAGGGTTGGTGAGGCGGAAGATGCCCCATCTGGCTTGATGTCAGTATGGCGGTCCGGGTTCGGGAGAGAACAAAAGGGAAAAGACTTACGAGGGCTCGTATTGCGGCGCGCACACGATCGCAATACTCTCCGGCATCATCACCTGGTACCCGGCTTGGGTGTGCAGGTCGCGCGAGCTCATAAAACACGTCTGCGTGGGGTGGGTATGAATCCAACCAATCACTATTAGGTCGTTGGTGATGCAGTAGTCGAGCATGCCCGACTCGTTCTCCGTCTCGCACGTGTCCGATGTGCATCGCTGCTCCGGAATCACCAGATGCGAGATGAAGAGCGCGTTGTTGACCGTCGTGCCGCAGAGCATCCCGCACATCTCCAACCCTTGGCGCGTGTTGTTCGCCGCAATCGCCAGGAACTTCTGCCGCAGGGTGCTAGGGAGGAAGACGGGCCTGATCGGGTCACCATTCTCGAGGTATCCCGCCGGACGAAAGGTAACCCGCTTTTTGTACGGCTCGCTTGCAGGCTTCGGGGGGACGGCCGGTGCCTCTTCGGGAAGAGGACTGTAGTCTGGAAAACTGCCCGGGAGCGCTAGTTCCTTTGCTGGCCGGGGCGGCGGGAGAATGGGGGACTCCCGTTCCAAATCCAAACTCTTGTCGGGCCGCGGCGGCAGCCTGGCGGGCGACCGGTCGACTTCTCGCTCTTTTGGCGGGCGCGGAGGCTGAATCCTAGGGCCGCCTGGGCGGTCTCGCGAAGTGGGACGTTGATATCCGAGCGGCGATGACTTTGTAATCGAGGGGTAAGAATATGTGGACGGTCGGGCAGGTCCTTCGTCTTCGTAACGCCGGTGCTCATCGGACCCATCTAATTGGCGCCGGGTGGCTTCCATCTGCCGCCGGAGTTCTTCGTCGTCCATGTATGGCGGTGGAGCCCTCCTATCACTCTCGTAAACCCGTCCGTCACGTTGCCTGCTGATTCGCCGTCTGTATTCTTCGTCCTCCAACGCACCCGCGGCCCGTCTGCGTCTTCTCATCTCCTCCCTTGCCAGGTCGACTGCAAGATCCTGGTGGTCTTGTGCGTCGAGGATGTTAGCGGGCGAGGCGTAGTTCCACGAGAGTGCTGGATCGTTGGCAGCATGCCTTGCGTATGGTGACGACGAGGCGGGTGGTGCGAAATCCCGATCCCTAGCGGCATCTTTCTGCGTCGTGGTAATCTCCACCCATCGGTCATAGGCGTCGTCAAGTTGGGGGCGCAGTATCTCTAGTGTCTCGATAACTTTTGGGATGCGTTTTTGCAGCGGCCTCAAGGTTTTCTTCGCTTCGGGTTCTTTAGCTTCGGGATGTTTGACGAGATAATCGAGCACCAAGACGGAGTACCGAAACAGTACAAGGTATGATTGGGGGAAGTTTCCTTCTCGCAGATAGACTTGAGCCTGTTCGATGACATGTGTTAGTGTAAATGCAGCCTGTAGATTCGGGGAATGGCCAAGAGAACCTGATGATGAATAGTCTCGGCGGCACGCGCCCAGTGCTTGAAGCCGATACGCGGGTTCCATTCGAACTCTTTTGCTTTGTCGGTCAATTGCCTTGCATTCATGGGCTTATTGCCCAGCATCGCGTCGGTTTGGTTCATCTTGACTGAGATGCCCGGCGAGATTGGGTCGATGTTTTGAAGGAGGACGCCGGGCGGAGCTGTGATGCGGTAGCTCGACAAATGTTGGCTGCCGCAAGGTGGCTTGAACGATGCTCGTGGTCATGGCCCTTCTTGAAGGGGAGTGGTTGCCTGGAATGCCAAAATCATGTCGTGCGTGGCATGGCATATGAATTAGCAATTGCCAGTGACAGAAGGCACGCTTTGCCAGGTGCCTGTTCGTGGTTGCGGCAGGCAGGTTGGGTTGGTTGACCCCGCCATCCTGTCATCCCGCTAACTTCCATTGTCCGGGCCTAGCGCTGAGGACTGCGGGGCAGCTGAATCAGCCCAGCTGGCTCTGAGCTCAGTCAAGCACGGACCTTTTCCAAGTTCACATTTCCATGCTTGGCACTTCAAACAGCTGTCTCATTCTTTTCATTTTTTAAAACTTTACCCAGAACGCTGAGGGTCGTGGTGGTTTAGTTGATGGATATTAATATTTAATAGCATCAGTAAAAGGCCATTGATAGGTATTTGACTTTGGCTTGCAGCATTGAGGTCCTTATTCAAGCATTGGACGATTGACTTGGTTGCCTTTTTTTGTTTTTGTTATTTTTGTCCCCTTCATTTTTTCCCTTTTTGTTTCATTCGGTCCGCTTGAGCAATGAACCGGAATTACCGGCCACCCATCCGACGAAACGAATCTCGCCTCTGATATCCCCTGTCTCAGTCCCCACGGATGGCATCGTCAACTCAACGAGCTCAGCTGGTGATTTGTTGGGCCTCTCGGGATTAATCGGGATGAAAGGCTGGCTTTGCCCTGGTCGTCCCGGGTGGCACAAACCGCAATCTGCCACGAGGGCCGGCCCGACCTCAGTCTTGTTTTTGTTTGGGGACATGGTGGGAATAAGGAGGACCGGGCAGGGCTTGGGCAAAATTTTCGGTTGGGTATAAGATGTTCTGCCCGAAGCCGACGTTGTGTCCCGTGAAAACAACTCACACTTGTTCCGTATCTTCCTCCCACTTCTCATTCCCTCCAGCCATCCCGTCTGCTCGCCGCTACCACTCCCCGCCATGGTAGTTTCCAACATTTCACGCCCCAACTCTGGGAGCCTCAGATGCCAAGGTGCTTATGTTCGTAGCTTTGCTGTCCATCATCCGGCTGACCCTCGTAGCAAGCATCCAGTCGTCCATGGACTTCCTGAGCCTCACCCTCGGCCGGTTGTCCATCCCGTCAGAGGCATGCCTGTTCAGTCTCCTCACCCAGTGTTTCAGCAAGATGAAGCAAATCTTCGACCTTAACGATCCTTCAAACATCCTCGCGGAGCCGGCCACTCTCGAGCGCATTCTAAACTCCATCTTCGACACCACATCTGCCCCCTTCGTCACGGAAAAGTCGTTTCGCATCGCTGCTGGGCTCGATGACCACGATAGGTCATGTCTGTTTGTCGAAGCCGTGGCGGGCATGGTCTTGGTCTTCCGCCGCCTTACCCTGGCCGGCGGTGTAGTATCCTCACGTGTGCTGTCCCGGGAGCTCCAGCTTTTCGCCGAGAGCGAGCAGCGGCGGGTGGTCTTGGATAAGATCGGCAGCAGCGCCCTCTTCAGCTCCTGTTACACTAAGAGCTCCCTCGTCGATTTCCTGATGGCGGCCATTGACGAGGATAATGTTCAGCACCATGATGCGCTGCCTCTTAGCGCCGCTGGCGAGCATCTCTTGAACGATAATGTCACTTGGGTTAGCGACCGGCCATGCAAGAACATGGGGCTACCATGGGGGTTCACGATCATGACTTTGAACTAGGGAAGTCGATGAGCGGGGGAAGCTGTACAATATCGTGTATCATCTCCATTCTGAGTAGAACGTAGCGCGGCGTTGGGGTATCTGTCTTGGTTAAAAAAGAACCGCTCTGCTACCACGCCCCCCCCTGCACTGGTCCGACGTGTTATGCCTTGACGGCTTGCGGAGCAGGTGCCTGCGCATTGGCTTGGGCCTGAATAATTTCACCCTTCTTCTTCTCCATTTTGCCCTGCATCTCTTTGATATGCGACTCTAACCTCGAACTTCAGACAGGGACGTGATTAGCTTCTTTGCATAAAAGCCATGGGTGTCGCTGCTTACGTCTCCTTCTCGATGAACTCCAGCCGGCCGTTGACGGTGCTTTCCGCCTCGGCCTTTTCTTGCTTGAGTAACACGGGCCCGATGAGCTTGTAGATAGTCTCCCCTTCTTTCAACTTGGAAAACTCCTGGCAGATATCATCAGCCTTGGCATCCCACAGTCATCTTGAAGACTGGGATCACACCTTTTGTACTCCGAGGTTCTCCTGCATCTGTGCCTCTAGCTTTTGTCTCGACTGAACCGTATCTTGGAGGTCTGACTTGGGCATGAATAGCTGCTAAGGGTTTACAGATAATTCACAAAATACCTTGTTGCAACTTGGTAAACTCCTCTGAGAGGGCTTGCAGCTTGGCCTGGGTGTCTGCCATTATGCCCAAGAATATCGCAAGGATGAGCGAGAAAGGCGTAGATTCCAAAAGACGTCCAAGTGATTTGTAGATGACGCGGCTCAAGGCTGAGGCTTCGGACCACTTTAGGCAGTTGTTGTTCTGTCGGTACTTGGCGGGGGAGTTAACGGTGAAGTGAAAGTGAAAGTGCTCCGCAGCCGATTTCTCTGGAGCCTGAAAGTTGGTGTTAGCATTCAGCACATGTTGATATAGTAAACCCTAACACAGTCGAAGTCCGCCCGCCCCACTAACCAAGCCGAGTGGCGTCAGCCCCGCGCTCCTGCTCCCTGGTCAACAACGGCCCCAGATTGAACGAATGGTTTTCTGTTTTTGAGTCGAGCTCGTCACAAACGCAATCGTTTCTGTTTGGTCACCGGCCAACCTCAACAAGTACCACGAGGGGCGACACCCTCGCCAGCAACCTCGGCGTCTGCCTAACCATCGACACAAAAACCTGCTTTCGCCCGGCGATTGCCCACCGCAGGCAGCCCAGTTCGAACCGCGGAAAACGATCACAAACAACCGCCAAAGCTCCGGCCCAAACTTCACTCACCCGCCCGACGAACTCCACCACACACCATGTCCAACACCGACTTCCTCGACCGCGCGATCAAGCAGGTGCGCGTGGCGATCGACGCCGACAACGCCGGGCAGTACGACAAGGCATACCAGCTGTACTACCAGTCGCTGGAGCTGTTCATGCTGGCGCTGAAATGGGAGAAGAACCCCAAGTCCAAGGAGATGATCCGGGCCAAGACGGGCGAATACATGGACCGCGCCGAGAAGCTCAAGGCCCACCTCGCCGACGGCGAAGCCAAGCGGAAAAAGCCCGGGATGGTGGGCGTCAATGGCGCCTCGACGGCCGGCACGGGGAAGGGCAAGGAGGCGGGCGAGGACGGCGCCCCGGAGCTCGACGAGGACAGCAAGAAGCTGAGGAATGCGCTGTCGGGGGCCATTCTGCAGGAGAGGCCGAACATAAGCTGGGATGATGTCGCTGGGTTGGAGGCGGCCAAGGACGCGCTGAAGGAGGCGGTGCTGCTGCCGATCAAGTTCCCGCATTTGTTTCAGGGGAAAAGGCAGCCATGGAAGGGGATTCTGTTGTATGGGCCGCCGGGGACGGGTAAGAGTTACCTTGCGAAGGCGGTCGCGACGGAGGCGAAGAGCACGTTCTTCAGCGTGAGCAGTTCGGATTTGGTGAGCAAATGGATGGGTGAGAGTGAAAGGTAAGACCAGCGCTTCTTTCCGAATCACTACCAGGCGCTGACACAGTGATATCATAGGCTAGTCCGACAACTCTTCGCTATGGCACGAGAGAACAAGCCGGCAATCATTTTCATCGACGAGATCGACGCGCTGTGTGGCCCCCGTGGGGAAGGCGAATCTGAGGCTTCTCGCCGAATAAAAACAGAGATGCTCGTTCAAATGGACGGTGTGGGGAAGGACAGCAAGGGCGTTCTCATATTGGGCGCGACAAATATTCCGTGGCAGCTCGACGCCGCCATCCGCCGTCGTTTCCAGCGCCGTGTACATATCAGCTTACCCGACCTGGCCGCGCGGACGACCATGTTCAAACTTGCGGTCGGCGACACCAACACGGCTCTCAAGCCGGAGGACTTCCGCGAGCTGGCAAAGGCAGCGGAGGGGTACTCGGGGTCAGACGTGAGCATCGTGGTGCAGGATGCGTTGATGCAGCCCGTGCGGAAGATCCAGCAAGCAACCCATTTCAAGAAGGTACGGCGGCTTGCCCCCTGGTTTCACTCATGGTCCGATTGATAACTGAACTCTTAGGTAATGGTTGACGGCGTCCAAAAGCGCACTCCTTGCTCGCCAGGCGACCCGGATGCGGAGGAGATGACATGGGAAAAGGTGGAGTCGGAGGATCTGCTCGAGCCGCTGGTGGAAAAGAAGGACTTTATCAGGGCCATCAAGTCCAGTAGGCCAACGGTGTCTCAAGTGGACCTGGAGAAATACGAAGAATGGACAAATGAGTTTGGAAGCGAGGGTGCGTGATCATACATGCGGCATAGTGGGTTCGTAGGACTTTGGACATCATTCGGGCAGGTGTTGTAGGCAAGCAGGCGTGTGGCGTTAAACATCCACTGGCTCAGTATGCGGCATGGATAGGGGATGTCGGGTTGTCTTTGTAGATGGATCTTGACACTTGCGGCGGGTCATTTTCCGAATTCTTACCGCTGGCTCAACATTGCCCGCATCAATATCGATCCATAGAGTGCAGGCAGATTCGACTTTGTTTCCATTTCCACGCCATGGTATGGTACATTCCATTGCAGAACATTGTGTCTCGACACATAGCCCGAAAACTCCATTTGCCCAACCCAAACAAACCCCACAGGAACTCCAAAAAAAAGCAGAGCGAAGACCAGCCAACGAAACCAACAAGAGACTTCGCCAAAGTAGCAAGATAGCAATGGTAAATCCAGCTATTCGGCGGCCACCGACTTTCTCTTCTTCTTTTTCTTCTTCTCGCCATCTCCGTTGACGTCGGCCATCTCAACATCCTCGCCCCCAACGCTCTTCCGCTTCTTGTCCTTCTTCTCTTTCTTTTCCTTCTTCTCCTTCTTTTCCTTCTTGTCCTTCTTCTCCTTGGCCGGCGGGTGGTCGATCATCTCCTCGTCAATATCCATGTCGTCGCCGTCGTCCATGATGGCCTGCATGGCCTTGCCCATCGCGTCGATGTTCTTCATCGGCTTGGTGCCCTTGGCGTACCACTCCAGCCGTTGCTCGAGCTGGTCGCGCATTACCTCACCGAAGCGCTTCGTCGGCTTCTCGGAAAAGTTATCGATACGGCTAGCAATGGAGCACTTGTTGGCCAGGTACCGCGAGATGCGGCCCTTGACTTTGGGGCCGGCACGCCCAATGAAGGAGCTCTGGTAAAGCAGGCCGTACTTGGGTGTCGCACCCTTTGTCTTAAGGGCACGGAAGAGGGCCTTCTCGGCACCGAGAATCTGGAGCGTCGAGGCGGGGTACTTGGCGAGGTTGGTCAGAGAGCCGGCGTGAGAGATGAGGCGGGCCGCAACCGGGGTGCCCAAAATGACCTGCAAGTTGGGGGCAACATCACCCATCTTCTTGTCGAGGGACTCGGCGAGGATGCGCCTGAAGTCGGCCATCTTGGAAACGTTCGAGGCAAGGTCCTTGACCATGGCCAAATCGGTATCGCTGATGTCTTGCCCCATAGAGATCTTCGCCGCTTGAATGATGGCCTCGGCCTTGTCCTGGTCTTGGTTGAGGACATTTGCAAGGTCGTCAACGCTCTCGTCGGAAAGGGTCCCCTTGTTGCCGATGGCGAGAACCAGCTTGGCGTAGGTGCCATTGTCGGACACGATCCGGATGAGTTCGGGGAAATGCCAGCCATACCACTCCCTAACGCGCATCGCACTTTGGTTGATACCCTTGTCAAGCGCGTCTAGGGTCGCAATGCCCTGAATAATGTGGTTGTCGTTCTTGTGGACGCTGAACTTGACCTTGGCGCGGGAGTAGGCGTGGCCAAGACCCAGCTGAGCCCGATTGATATCGCCCTCTTGCAGACCCTTGAGAAGTTTGTTGGCGTGGAGACGGATGCCACGGAGGAGCGCGGCGACAACCTCGGAGGTGTCGGCAGCCTCGCACTGGACGCCGGGGAAGGCGGCGCTGATCTCTCCCGCCAGCCGCTTATCCACCACGCCCAGCACGATCTTGCTCTTCTTGCCGCTGGTCTGCGGCAGGTTGAGTTCGAGAGTGTTCTTGAGATGGTCGGGCATGATTCCTTCCGAAATTAGGTTGATCGCTTCCAAACCGTGGGCGGCAGACCTAGAAACGATCAGCCGGACGAACGACGATAGCGCGCGACAGCAGCAAGCCATTGCGAGCCATCTGAGCCGAGATGGACGCGCACGCAGATACACTTACGTCCAGGGGTTGAAGCTGCGCAATTGAATCATCTTGCCAAACTTATCCAGGCTCTTCATCGCATCCTTAACCTCGGGCAGTTCCAGGCCGACGGTATCGGCTTGGTGTACCACCTCGAACAGCGAAAAACCGACGGCGCTCTCGAAGAGCAAATAATTAACCACCACCATCTTGGCCAATTGTGATCGCTGGACCTTGGGCGGACGGTGTGTCGTGTTTAGAGGCGTTGGCGGCGTGTCGACACTGCGCAACTGTTTTTAACCACTGATTTTTAAGATGCGGGTTGGCGGCTCTCGATATTTTCCTGGCGGCTTTGAAAGTTTTCGAAATTTTTGCGGGAAGCTCCCGCACGGGCCATGTGGGGTCATCTTGGCTCATGCCGCCGCGCTGCTTGTGGGGTTGCCAGTCTGGGAGTTCTGGCTGTCAACGCTTCCACCTGTCTGGCAGCTGTTCTGATTGAGTCGCGTGTGATCCAGCCTCGCTGCGGCTCCAAATCGTGAGTTCGAAGGACCGCTGTCTCAGACCAACCTCCACACGCCACGGCCCTCCAATTTTTTGGCCTATCACCACGGCGTGCATGTCGTTAAGTCGTCCACCGCGTCCTCGCTCCCCGTGGCCCGGCCGCCAATCGTTCAACACTCGGGCCAGATGTGCCGCATTGGAGCGTGGCCTCTGCGTCTGGGTCTCGGTCTAAATGGCAACATCGACAGTAACCAACTACTTTGTACTTAAACGTTGATCCCGATGACATACCAGCCCGCCACTTTGTCTCATCCGCTCCATGCAACCCATAGGATGAAACCATTTCGGGATGACCGGCCCATCTATTTGGCTGCTCCTTCCACAACAGGATACCTGCCCATCTCATTGCACTGCCGAGAACCGGCCTTGGGTCGCTGACCCGAATAAGAGCCAGGAAGGCTGACCCACGAAGCTGACACCCCTCCATCCCTCTCGGGTGTTTCCCTACTCGGGCTGCATCCGGCTTACATTCATTTCTGTTTCGCCGGCGAATAGCCTCAGCAATTGGGGCACGTACGCGGCTCAACCATCGAATTTCTCGGGGGGCTTGAGATGAGCTCAAGCACGAAAAAGGGGAGCCCCGTCCCCAAGATTCGGGTGACAGGTTGGGAAGCGACGGAGTGGGAAGCCGCTGTAATTGGATATCGTCCCTGAAACGGTGCACTTGTCCAATCAGCAGGCTAGGAAGCTCCCAAGCAGCGACTTGCAGTTCGGCGCCATCCCGCTCTTGTCGGTCAGCCGCACACAGAGGGCAATTGTCGAATCTCAACCCCCGGAGGAGTTGTGCGCAGCTGCGATGAGCACCCTCACCGAATCCCTGCAGCCTTATCCCTCACACCGAAATTACGACGTCATATAACAGCTGCACGCAATGGCGTTCACCACCTTGTCGATGCTTCCAGACTTTGTTCCCGGGACACCGTCGTCGATGCGCAATAGTGCCCAATTCCCCCGGCGTCCCGGGTTACACGAGCTTGCTTGCTTTCATGTCAAGTGTCTGCTGAGCATATCTTCTGCGGCCCCCTCCCCGACCTAGTCCACGAGACCCGGTTCGATCAACTTTTCCGGCCTCGACTATCCAACAAACCCTTGCATGTCAAAGGCCTGAAGCTGAACGAGATGGCCACACGATATCCTGCTTCCGGGGACCACGCCCGGCCTTCGACAAACGACACGGCAACAACAGCCCGCCAGGCGGAAAACCCAATCAATGTCGACACCGAAAGCCTTGGCCCCCTGATGTCTGGCACGGGCCAAGTTGCTCTGTCTGGCCTCGCGAAGGAGACCATCGCCGGTACTCCCCGGGAGGAATTCCCCCCCGGTGGTGGCACGGTCCGGGAATCATGGGTGTCTTATGCCTCAACGGCCGCCAGCAGGGATTCAGTGGTTCCTAGTCTGTTCTCGGTCAGGGCGTCAACCGTTTCGGCCGCGACACGATACTCGGTCCGTCAGTCCTCGATCGAGTCGCCCATCTCCGCCACTAGCCCAACGTATCAGGAACATAGGAAGGGCAGCTACCCTCGGGACCGCTATTTCTGCACATTCTGCGACGCCGATTTCTCCTCAAAGACAGAGTGGAAAGCCCACGAGTTTGAGTTCCATAACCGGCGGGAGCGATACCTATGCAGGAGCTGCCCAGCGGTATTCTCAGAGGCAGTACGCTTTGCTGATCACCTCAGAACAAACCACGGTATTGAATCCATTGAAGCTCCTCCCGAGCCCACCGAGTACCGGCCTACTCGAAGTGCCTGGGGTTGTGGGTTCTGTGGCGCAGCCATTTCTTCGCGGAATGAGTACCTTGAGCATGTCGGCGAGCACTACGACGAAGGAAAACAGAAATCCGAATGGCTGCACACCTTTGTTATTGAGGGATTGCTTCAACAACCCCAAGTGGCATCTGCCTGGATGGCTTTGGTCGCAAGGGAGGAACAGTCAAGGGGCGCCAAGTTGCGGTTTCTATGGGATTCGGACACAACCGGTCGAGCCACCAACGAAAGAGAGCCCCACGGCCTGCAAGACATGCTTGAGCTCTTCCCAGCAGGCGGCCAAAAAGCAGATGAGGTTGTGAAAGTTGCCTACAACAGCGCTCAGATTCGACTCAATACCAACATCAGCGACGACCTCATCAGCAAACTTGGCGTAGGAAGTTCCGAGGCAACGTCGAGCAATCTGGCCCAGCGTCCCTTTCAATCCCCGTTGGACCTACATCCAACTGAGCAGGAGGTAACAGATGACGTGGTCTCGCCAATATCGCCATTACCTGCGCCCCTGCGGCCGCCCACCGCTCCGCCGCGGCTTTCGCACCCATTGCCTCCATGGCTTGAGTCGAAGTCACGGCCGTCCGAGACCATCTCAACAACTTCCAGCTCCGGCCCGCCAACACTTTCCCTCCCTTTGAGGCCAAGCTCAAAAGCACTGCGCCGGATTGAGAGTTCGCGAAGCCTTGGTCCCACGAAGCAGATTGAAGATGTCAGGGCCCTTGGCCGACCGGCGGTCAACGCCAACACGCTACCCCTGCTAGGTCCCTCCGAGGCCCCTCTCATCTCTATTAGAAGGGCAAGAGAGTCACGGCCTCGTCTATCGGTTACTCCGGAAGAGTCATCATCTACAATTGACCAAAGAAGAGTGTTATCGACACCATTATCCGTGAAACCACATACGAGCTCGAGCACGCTGTCCACACACACAAAAGATGACTCCCTTGGGTTTGGTGACAGTACAAGTGAGACCGTGTCAGATGACAGTCTTTCGGAACCCGATTCATGGCTGGAATCTGGCGGTATTCCCACGGCTACCAAAGTTTGGAGACAGTCGTTCCAACGAACGGTCGACCGGGGGATGACACGGCTCTGGGTCCGGTACAGCCATGACTGGGATGCTCTTGTCAGGCAGTATGTTGGCGACACAAGCGGCGATTCGGGCCAATACCGAGAGTCTTCGGGGCGTGTACGCAAGTGCGCATCTTCGCGTTACGCGACAAGCAACAATCTCCGTCCCAATGCGCGGTCGTTTGCCCAGGACGAAGAGGAGGACGGCGATGAAGGCGAGGGGTATCCAGCTCCTTCACAGATGTCCAAGCGTAACTCGGGGTCTGCGAAGAGGTTCGCATGCCCCTTCAGAAAACACGATCCCTTCACCTACAACGTCCAGGACCATGAAGTGTGTGCGATCAGATCGTGGTCGGCGATCTCCAGGTTGAAGTGCGTGCCAACCCTCCATCAGCCCGGCATACTGAGACTAACTCGTCAAATAGGGAGCACATCTACCGCAGGCATTACAAGATCCACTGCCAAAGATGCAAGCGAACTTTCAGCGAGACTAGGGAACTAGCAGACCACGAGATGTTGGTCACGGGTTGCGAGGTTGTAGATACCATTCCCCCGGGTGATATCACGGCATACCAGGAAAAGCAACTCAAGTCGAGAAAACACACCACGCGGCGACAGACGGACGAGGAGAAATGGAGAGATATCTACCGACTGCTCTTTCCCAACGAAGAAATTCCATCGCCATGTAAGTGGCTCCATGAGGTGCCCGAACACGAGGGATGGCGGACGGGTCGCTGATACGAGGTCAGATCCTGAGGCTGCGGAGGACATGGGGCCCAAAACCGCCGAGTCCAGTGTCAGTTTCAACTTCCAGCACTTTCTTCTGAGCGAGATGCCGACTTTATTCACCAGAACCGCCGAAGAACACGCTGGGAGACACCTCCAAGCTCACGACGAACTGGCGTTGGGAGCCATCCCGCGCATCATCGAGGATGCCCTTCACAAAGCGTTCAGGGCATGGGAGGCAAGGGGTAGCGAGTTACCGGCCGGGGAGGCTTCGGTAGCACTGATGAGCTTTCTGCCAGAGACCCCAGGTTCGAGCGCTTACAATTTCGGGCAGTCCACCGCGTACCAAACCCCGCAGTCCGCCGTGACAACAGACCACAACTTTTCCCAGAGTCAGTTCAGCAACCCGAATTTTAGCGTCGAGGCTCCACATGGTCATATCGCCAACCCTGACGACTCTGGTTTTGTGGACGACACTTTCTTCGCACCCGAGCCTCTGCTCGACTTCAACAACTTCGTCCCGCAGTATGAGAGAGGCGCATGGGAACCAGGCCTTGGTATTATGGGCGGGGGTGCGTTCGGGGCTGACTTAAACCCGGGGGACCACTTCCGGGGCTTCCATGGTGGTTAGAGAGCAGATTGCTCCTACTGCTGGCCAAATGACCCCACCCGATACTATTAGTGTGCATTTTCCAGGTGCTTGGTGTCCTCAGCCGGGCGTCAAATCTACCCTTTTAAAACTAGAGCATAGAATAACTAAACTTCATCCCTCATCCCACGCCCCTCCCTAACAGTCACCATCAAAAGCAAGCTGCGATCACCTCTCTTCGCTCCATTATTGGGATGGGCAGGGGTAAGCAAAGCGGGTACCAGGATAACTTACTTCTCTCTTACACCAATGCTATCAACTATCCAAGCTGTATGGTAGGCAAGCAACAAAATGAGCGAAACGATGACCCAGTACCGACCAACTGGCACCGTTGAGGGAAGTGAACCAACACAAGCAGGGATGTCTACAACTTGTCTGTGTTACCGAAAACAAGCCCGCCACCCGAGTAGGTACCTAACGTTTGAAGGGGCGTCGCGGTGTTCCGTACAACCAACATGATTAACCCGTCCTCTACCAACGCTCCCCCGTCCAACTCCTAAATCATCATAACCACCTCACCTTACATGCTCATGCCAGGGAGCTGGGGAAGCCCTATTACCATGCGTTAGCACCGTGTAACAAAAGCACGGGCAGGGTAGGGAAAGGAGGCAACGGCAAAACGTACACTTATCATAATCCTCCCGCGCCGCCTGCTTGACCGCGCACGCGCGCGCCGTCTCGATATTCTGGGTGCGCAGGCTCGCGCACTGCGCGCCGAAGCAGCCGGAGGTGTCCATGGCGCGCTGCAGCGAGTCGTCCTTCCACCCGAACACGTAGTCGCCGTGCTGGCCGAGCCCCGTCGGGTCGCCCGTGCTGAGCACGAACGGCTGCGAGCCGTCCGCCGGCCACTCCGCCTTGTTGTTGAAGGGCGTCGTGTCCCACACAACTTCGTACATGAGCTGGGGGATGCGCACTGGGTGGGAGGCCGGGCAGTTGCCGCCGAGGGAGAGGAAGTTGGCGGGGCCGGAGGTTGGGTAGGCTACGTGGTCTTGGGTGGTTGGGGCCGTGTCGAGGTTTTTGCCGTCCCCAAGCATCTGGGGGGGGGGGGGGGGGAGGAACCTACGTCGGGAAGTGGATGTTGGTGCGGATGCCGCCGGGGCAGACCTTGTTAGGGAGCGCCTCGGAGTCGACGCTGTCGTCCTGGCAGGGGGCGCCGACGTCGCCGCCAAAGTTGGGGCCGGTGTAGCAGCGGTAGCAGTTCTGGCGCTTCAGCTTGGTGTCGGGGCGCGAGCGCATGTTGGGGTCGCCGACGAGCATGCGGAAGCCCTGTGGATTTGTCAGTATGGGGTATGGGATGGTTGGAGGGAAGAGGGGGGGTTACTGACCGGCTTGAAGGCCGTGATCTTGCCCGGTTGGGCCGAGACGTAGTAGACCAGGATACCACCCTGGGTCTGGGTGCTGAACCCGGTCGTTAAACTGGAGACTTCGAGCAGGTCAGTATGTCGGCTTCCCTGATTTTATATCCTAGAACTAAACCTACGCAGCGCCGCCCTGGGGAACACGCTTGTAGCTCCCGTTGCGGGCCTTGAAGTACAAGTTTGCGGTCCAGTAGTTCGAGAAATCGTCGGCAAACTGGCAGGTCGTGCAGCTGGCGTGCTGCGAGACATCGTCGGTGGGCATGGTGACGTTGAAGGCGTTGCCCCCGACGATTTGATGGACGTGCGGCGAGGGGACCTGGCCTGGATTGACGAGAGGGTCGATCCGGTCAATGACAACTTGGCTGCAGCCGAATCGCAGCATGGTCAAACCGCCGCCGCCGCCAAACTGGGGAGCCGCCTCGGCTCAGGGCCGAGAGGGCGAGGAAAGCAGACTTTGCCGTCCACTTCATTTTGGGCTAGTTGACTCGCGGTCGAGGTATGGAACGTAGGTTGTCAGCCTTGTCGTACCGGGGATGCAGCGCCAAGGGGAAGCGGGAGAGAAGGTTACGGCTGTCGGTGGAACATGGAATGCAACCGCGAGCGTCTTCTCATCTGCTTTTATACCACTTTTCGCAAGTAGGAGAGAAGCATGAAACCCCACGCTATCCCACGGACCTTTCCGTTTAAGGCGCCAACTGCCGCTCGGGCTAAGTGAGGCAAAGTGCCGAGCCCATGGGGCCAATGGGTTGTATAGGGGCAATATCCCAATCTATATTGTTGCTATAAGCTGGGACCTATCGGAGCTAGTTTTGAATGCGGGCGAGCTTGATTGGGCTCTAGTGGGGTAAATAGAGAAGGAGGCAGGGTGATATAGGCGCTTCCACGGCAAATTCCCCAGTCGGCCTGCACCAGTACCCCCAGCAAGACGTCACAAGGGTGGCGGCCTTGCCTGGGCTGAGAGTACGGCAGATCTATGATAGGACAGGAGATAGCGAAGAACACACAAAGAATCCGATGCAGAAGGTATGGGTTACCATATTTGGAACCCCAAGGGGCCCAGAGCAACAAAGCCCGGAGATGGCGTAGCAGCCAAGGCCATGTGGTCGACGCATCCATCAGTGATGAGCGTCTCTAATCGCAATTTACCAGCCACCATATGTTGTCATCGCCGGGGTGACGGGATGTGTTTGTTGGTGGAAGAACGGACTAGACCGGGTTCTCGAAGGTTCATAACATTCCATGATCCCTACGGCCTCGTGGTTAGCCTGCTCAGTGAAACCCTGTCATTTCTCGGGCTGAGTTGGCCCGACTAAATTTATGTGCCACGGCAGAGTAGTAATAGCCCCCGATCAATGTATGGAACCGTCTAGAAAAGCTGCGAGCGGAATGGGGGTGGCCGAGAACAGAAGATGGTTGGTGGCTTTTCTCTCGCAAGGGGGGTGTTGAGTGAGTCGGGCGAGAGGAATCAGCATCACCCAAAGACATATAGACGCCTTCTCGTTAATGAATATCCTTGCCCGTCCTAGTTATCTCTTTACTTGCTGCGATGTCGCGATTTGACATACACCATGCTGCCTCTCTTCCGAGGCAGGCCTTTGGCCCCAGTTTGCTAATCTATCTCCTCAAAGACACGGTCTGATCCCGCTGCCCAGTTATGACTCCCTAGCAAACAGAGATTACGAGAAGTACCGACAGGCAAAGTCTGTGATCGGAAGACTTTTCCAACGTTGTCTCGTAGTGGCTTTCGTCTAATCTCGGAGTATTAGCTACATGTATAGCCCAGTGCGGAAGATCTCAGAAGAAAGAGTTGGCCGAGGCTCAAGTTCCTTATTAACTTTCAACCTCCACAAAGGTGTGACACGGGAATGATGCAGTGTGCGTCAAGAACCCGTCCTGCTCATGAGAAAGGTACGAGCGAAGTTGGGCGGCACGTCGCGGAACTGCCGCGGTTAGGCTCCTAACAAGGGGCAGGTCCGGGAGCCCCCAGTCACAAACGCGATGAATGGGTTGACAAGAAACGGCTGGGTTCCCGACCAATCTTGACGAGTGGAATGTTGAAACGAGTAACTGCCGAAACCGCACCGTTTCCTTTGCTCAGCTCGGTCTCGGTTTCCACCGGATACCGGAATCAAAACCGTGGATGGCCTTTCGGCATCCTCCCGAGGACTTTCTCATCCGTTTCCCATCGACCAGGGCGCTTACGGTGTTGCTTCCCTGCTCCTCCTGAACATAAAACGCCTAATTTGATTAGTCCTCCAATGACGATTCCAGTGCGGGATAAGGGACCACAACGCCACCTCGTTGCACTGGGCCCTAGCCCTGGCACAAGAAGGGAGTGCTTCCAGAATATTATGGAAGGAAGACCGTCGGAGGGGACAAGGGAAGCTCTTTAGCTTTAGCCTTATCGGGCTCATGATAACTAACTCATGGTGATGATACTGCTTACGTATTTATGGCAAATCCCAGTTGTTACCTTATGCTAACTGCCAGCAGTAGGCCCCTCAGGCCAAATATGAGCGGAGATATCTCCTATTGAACATGAAACCTTAACTTTTCTCCTGCATCCCCATCACCAGCCTTTCTTTTACCATGTCACTGGAAGTTTGACGATACCAACATCACGCTGCAAAGGTGTGTATTCAATATCCTTGATCGGGACGGCAAGTTTCAAACCGGGAGCCTTCTTGAACAAGAACGCTAGGGGTAATGGTCAGCTTTCCTGATTCTTTTTGTCCGAAAATATCCTCAAAAACCGGGTTTTGCTTACTGAAAGCGCTCCTGAGTTCGGCCTTGGCCAGGTGCTCGGCGATGCAGCGATGGTCACCAAATCCAAAGCCCAGCGGATCCTCATTGGGCCACTTACGGTGCATGTTGAACGTGTCGGGGTTCTCGAAGATCTCTTCGTCACGGTTGGCCGACTGGTTCGACGCGATGATTCCCTGGCCGGCCTTGATGAGCTGCGGCATACACATGTTAGTCATGGGACGACAGTCTGGGCTCCTCGGACTCGTTACCTGGCCGCCGATCTCGATATCCTCCTTGGCCGTACGCTTCATGGCCATCGCCGAGGCGGTGTGGTAGCGGCACAACTCCTCCACGAAGGGCCCGACCCACTTCGCCGGGTCAGCCTTGAGTTCGGCCAGCTGCTCCGGATGCTGAAACAGGGTCACAACACCCTAAGGTCGGTTAGTCGTTGGTTATTTGTCACGGCCCTGGGGTGGAGGGACTCACGAGGGCGATCATGTTCACCATGGTCGCGTTGCCAGCCACCAGCAAGAGGAAGGCCATCTGCACGGCATCGGCTTTTTCGAGCTTGCCGGTCTTGACGTAGTTCGTTGCCAGCTGGCTTACAATGTCGTTCTTTGGCTCCTCTAGACGCTTGTTTGTAAGCACAGTGAGGTAGCGGATCAGTTCACTACCGTCGGTCAGCTTCACTCTTGCATCACTTGCTGGGTATGCGTACTCGGCCGCTGCGGACGCGTCACGCGCCGTGGCACTTCCGTTGGTGCGGATCGAGTTCTGCTGCGTCAGAAACTCCAGGTCCTCGAAAGGTACACCAAGAAGGGTGTAGATAATCTGCCTCCGTCAACACCGATTCCTTTCTCAGGAGGTGGGTGGGAGAGGGGAGTGCCTTACATATGACGGAACAGGCAGAGCAAACTCCTCCACCAAGTCGACAGGTCCATTGGTACATCCCTTAGCCACCATTCGATCCAACAAATCATTCACCGTCTTGTCGATATACGGCTCCATCGATTTGACCTTCTCAGGGGTGAACCACGACTCGACCATGCTCCTACAACCAACACATCAGCATCCATCCGTAACCCGCGAGACCCTGAGTCAACAAGCCTACCGATGCCTCATATGCTCGGGCGGATCCATATCGACAAACGTCGGCCGCTGCTTGCCAGCCGCCTTGCCACCATCACTGAACTCGGGGAACCCAGGCCGGGAGCGCTCCTATCCCAACCAAGCAAGTCAGCATTGAACCACTCCAACCCGCAACACATCCCTCACACCACCACCAACCTATCCCGCCCCATCCCACCCATCCACCCACACCCAACCCCCCCACCCCCCAAAAAGAAAACACCTAAGAAAAAGAAAAAAGAAAAAATCACGCACCTTCGACAACCTCCGATCCGTCGCCACCCGACAAACATCCCGATACTTGGTCACCAACCACGCCGCCGAGCCATCATACAGCCTGACCTGCGAGACCGGATCGGTCGCACGCAGACGGGCAAACTCGGCGGGGGGTTCCAGCCCTGAGGCGCGCTGGAAGGGGAACGCCGGCATGTCCTTGGTGGCGGGGTTGGGAGCGGTGGTGCCCATGGCTGTGGTGGCTTTGGTGGAGGGGGATGTGTGGAGGGTGCGGGCGTGGGTGCGGGGGGTGGTTGTGGTTGTGGTTGGGAGGAGGATGGTGAGGGTGAGGGGGAGGGTGGTGCGGGTTGCGGTTGCGGTATATACGCGGTTCATGGTGGTGATGACGTGGGAGGGAGGGAAAGGTGGAGGTGGGTGCTGAGTCGGGCTTTTTTATATACAATGGGGATGGCGGGTTTCGGACTTGACGGGTGGGTTCACGGGTGAATGAATGAATGTCGTGTTGGTGTTACTGGGCCTGGACTGCTCGGATGGTGCTTAGAAGGCGTCGTATAGCCCAAGCTAATATAGACGTTGGAGGAGGCGCGTTGGCCGTTGGGACTCGGCATGTGCGCACGTCAGTGCATCATCGATGATGCTCGGAGGTGGCTGATCGGACATGCGAGTTCCCGAGCCCGGGCCTCTCCGCTCACATTGCCTGTCTTTTCCCCTGGCCTAGGCTCGTTAGGTCACGTCACGGGCGCATATACATGACAAGCTACAACTGTCTTGATCAGATGGGATCCGTGGGGATGCCCGGCGAAGCCGTTCTTCCGCGGAGGTCTGGAGGTGTTTGGTTCCAGATCGGTTGGCCGTTTTGGTGGAACTTGAAGTAAAACTGCCTTCTCCAATCAAGGCAGACCCTGAATATTACCGCGCCTTCTATTCGTTAGTAAGGGGGGTGTTACTCATGACGGAGCTTGGTCTGCGGGGTAGGGATAGCTGCGGAGGTGGTCTGATCGCAGTGAGCTGTGGCGGCTCAAGGACAGGGACACAACCTAGACTTCCTCATCCTGTCCAACATCGCCCAGACGTAGTTGCACTACAGTTCCCCGAGCGCACTCCGATCGTTCCCGACATATCTCCTGCCGAAGGCCGGAAAGAAGGTTGGTTGCACTTGAGGCACTCATGAGACCTGTGTTAATAAGGGGAGGAGGGTAGCATGCGAACAAAGAGTTGAGGGGGATATATTGATACTTTCCACCCCGCGATGCTGTGATCTCTAAAAGCCGTGATACGTTCTACCGCGCTGGTTTCCGGCTCGTGATCTCGACTTTTCTTGAATTGTGCTGTACGCCGGAGATGCTCAAATCTTGGGGCCATGACCGAGTTTTCGTATACCCGATAATATCGCCAGGCACCAGTTGTCCAGTGTTGCCGTTTTCGTGGAACGGCGGTTAAGACACAAACAGTTTAGACTCCGAAAGAGTCGGGGGCGGCGCCGAATTTATGCGAATCAGCAGAGGCATTATTTACCTCCGCGGCATCCCGGGTGCTCGGGTCGCTTCTCTCGTTTTCCGCAATTGAGTCTGGCACGACCCACTGGAGATTTATTGCAGCGGTTCCACATGCACTGTCGGCCACCTGGCAACCGGCTGTTTCTGACCTGCAGATCAACGAAGCTCAAACCTCAAATCTGGGGAAATCGGCCCCCACTTGCAACCTGCATCGCCTCGCTAACCCATCCCTGGACCGCATCCCGCCGCAGATGGGGTCGCACTCTCGGGCCTGCCGGCGACGTGCCATTTCAATCTGGGCTACGACCGACTGATCGACTTCGCAAAGCCAAATAATTCCACTTCCAACTCCTAATAGAGAATAACGAGCACCCGGCATGATGGGAAATCAGTGGCCTCTCACTCGGGCTTTGTATGGTCGTCGCACATCAGTGCCTGAGTGACATCACGGTCTGCTACTGCGCAGTGGACATCATGGGCGATAACAATGCGCGATATCCACGATGCACGCTCAGGCTTTTGTATTTATCTCCAGGCTACCACTCTCACTTCCACCAGAATCCAAAATCTTCACAGCCTAACCCGCGTGACCTGCGTGCGCTCTGACCCTCGACGCGACTTTTTAACATCTCCCGGGCAGGTCCCGTTTCCTTCAACCTCCATCATAAGCCAACACTCCTTTCGACTTCACTTCTGACCCATTTCCAATCATTACAATCTAATACTATTTAATAACCCACCAAACCAACCACCCACCATGCCCCTCGAAATCATCAACCTCTCCGCGATCGCCCGCAACCGGACCCGCATGGCCGCGCGGCTCGGATTTGAGTCGGTGCGCGACCTCGAGAGCTGGGAGGAAGAGATCGTGCTGGACCACTTCGCCAACTTCATTTGCGACTACCTAGCGATGGGCTACACGGTCGAGCCCGACAAGCGCGAGCTTGTCAGCTTCATCAACCTGGACGAGTCGGTCGAGGAGCGCATCAAGATGCTCGAGGAGAGGAGGTTCGAGATGGTCCTCGACCCGGACAAGAGCGAGTGTGAGTACTTTTTTGTGTTCTCTCTTCCACGTGACCTGGGATGGGATGGGAGGTTAACTGGCTGCTGCAGGGACCGCTAAGGATCATTACAAGCAATTTGTGGTTGGCGTCGTGGCCGATGATATCTGGCTCGGCAGGTATGGTGTCGACGGCGCTATTCTCTGCACCCGTGATTGGACCCCCAAGCAGACGACCCTCAAGATGGTGAGGTTTCTTGAGTTCTTGGTCCAGGAGTGGGTGCAAGGCCCGGGTGATGCCACTGATAGGCAGAAGTCAGGGCAGATGGCTGTCCGCATCTAAGCACACATGGCCCAGTGGTGTAGGGCGGCATTTTTGGTCAGTTAACGCATTGCATAGTTGGAGTTGGGGTGCATTGTCTGGGCGTTCAAAACTCGCGGGTAGATCTCGTAGATTATTTTTGTTTTCTGATTTTTAAAAGAAGAAAGAAATGGGAAAAAAAGAAGAAAAGAAACAAACACCAAGATTTCCTCTTGCGGACAGGATCCAGCTGGACGGCACTGTGATGCAAACCACGCCAGAGGGCCTATAACCAACTATACATACCTATTTACACCCTTGCACTGCCTAATGTATCTGTTGATCATACGAAATATTCTACCATGAAATTGGAAGTGTCCGCTCTTCGTCTACATGTGCACCCCCAAATGTACGATTTTAGGTGGCCCTCTCTCTAACAGGCTAACCCCTAGGCTCGCTCAGTGCGATCTATACGATAGAGACTGGTGTGCCAAAACGTGCAAAGTCAGGACGCCGTCGCCCACGAGATATAGCTTGAGGGATGTGTTTTACCGGACCCTTTCATTTCGCCGCATCGACAGTCTCGAGGACGGCATGGATGGTAGAACGCGCGGCGCGATCCGGTTCGGTCATACGACGAATAACTTCATCCATCGGATCATGCCCGAGTTCTGCAGGCTTGGCCGAGAATCAGTCTTCCCAAATCTGCTCCTCGATGCCCCGTTCCGGAACCGGCAGCTCGCCACGCAGGTACAGCATAACCACACCCAGCGCCCAAACGTCCCCCGGCGGGCCTCGGCCCTCGCTGGGATCCTCCAAGAATTTCGGCGGGATTCACCAGGGCGTGCCTGCGCTTTGAGGTATCCCGGTGTCTCGAGCGTTCTCGGTGCTGAGTCCGAAGTCGATCAGCACGGCGCCGCGGGCGGCACTGAAGAGAATATTGCCGGGCTTGATATCATTGTGACCAACGCCGCTCTCATGAACAAAATCGAGCGCCGAGACCATGTCACCCAACACCTGGCGGGCATCCGCGAGCGTGCCCGAGAAGTAATCGTCAGGGCCTCGCCAGGCCCTTTGGACGGGGGATGGCGCCGCGATACTAGCCGAGTCCCAGCATCAACCCCCTTCTTCTCGGGCCCTTCACTCACCTTTCATGCTGTCGATGGACGCGGGGTTAAAGAAAGAACGAAACCATACGCGTCTGGGTTGCAACGTACGGCCCGGATTGCGTGAATGCAGGGCGGCATCTTGGTCAATCGACCAACGGCTGAAATGGTTGGTTCAATAACTGCACAAGGGTTGGCGAGTGGTTCGTGCTTACACTCAGTCAGGTCGTAATTTGGCTTGTGCTTGGTGAGCTCCGACTCTGCTGCAAGCAACAAGAAACTCTGGAGTTCGTTGGTTTCCGTTGGTTTCTTTTTCCCTATCCTAAAGGATACCAAACCGCAATGAAATGGATGCGGGCTCACGCAAACCCTGGCGACCCGATTTCGAGGACGATTCGCCCTGGCGCTGGGAGTGGTGGAAATTTGGGATGACAGCCGAAGATCTGTTCACGACCCTGGACGAGAAATACAACACGGCGCCGTACAGGATTCAGAGCTACGAAGCTTTCCACCACGACGTCAATGAGATTGCACACGAAGCCAGCGACCTCGCCGACTTCCATGCAAGGCTGGCACTTCGCCGGGATAAACGCCTCCAGGAGATGATGGAAGCTTGGGACAGCGTCTCGCGCACCATCATCTGGAAGACCGACGTCCTCAACGACAATCCTCCGCGCTGGAAAGCTTTTCGTAACTTCCCTTGGAATCGCTCTCTGGACTCGATTGTCCAATTCTTCCAGTCGCTCCTTCCGCCTCCTACACCCCCGGCTCCCCGGCTCCATGAAGCACCCTCCTCCTCAGGCTCGGCGGCGATCAAGCCAACCCAGACCGGCTCACCCCCACCGTTGCAAGACACAGTCCGGTCGAACCCCGCTATCAAGACAAGTGAGGCCAGCCTGCAGCCAGAGACCAAGCCAGCTTACCCGCCCCCTCCCAATGATGCCCGTGATACCCGCGGCCGGAAGGAATTTAAGGATGGCCAGGGAGGGAATGGGGGGCATGAGTCCCCAACACCGCAACCCCCACGCCATACCGGAGCACCCCCGTCACCGTCAACATCAATACCAAAAGCAAAAGCAAAAACTCTAACAAGGAGCGCCGGCGTCACAAAGAACCGACATAACCGCCTACCCCGGCAACGGACTCCTGCTGTGAGGCACTCACGCTAGAACGCCCAAAAGCCATCATCACTCGAAGAGAATGAACGTCCTGCGCCGCGACGCACGAAAACACCAGATAAACTCGTGCCAGTCGCAGGCTTGCGGGCCACACGCCCAAGCTCAGCGGGGGTTGAAGCAGCTGGAACGACGGATCCATTACTACCACTCTAATATAACTTGAGGCATGCCGGTAGCTTATCTGCTTGTTCAAGGGGCTTGCCTGGCAGAAAGCCGGGCGGGTGGCGCCGGAATCTGTCCATGGACGGACCATACACGCTTTCTCTCTCCTTCGGGGCAGGATACCTTAGGTACCTAGGTACGCAGCACATCGCCGCTTCGCTTCCAGTTTTTGGAGCCACGGGTACGACTGACATCACCTGACACGCACCAAGTGCTTGCTGTCTTAGATGACGTTGACGGACGCTCGAACGCCCGAACGCCTCCCTCGTATGGCTTGGGGCGTTTCCGGTTATTTGCCCGTGTATTATCATAGGAGAGGTCCCCGAGGTAGTAACGCCGGTATGCCGCTGCGGTATGGCGCGCGAGACATTCGAACACCTCGTACTCGAATGCAACGGAGCCGCAGATAAACCTCATCCCTGGCCAGACGACGGCGCAGAGCTACTGGAGTGGCTAGATGACGTGGAGAAGGCTGCCATAGTGGTGGGGTGGGTGCTTGGGCTGGGGAGGCTGAACGAGTTCCGGCTGGCGGTAGAGCTGGAAAATGAGAACAACGAAGAGGCCCGCGGCGGGGCCGAAGCGGAGTAGCAGAAGGGCATCGATGGAACAGAGGTTACGACTCATTTTATCTATTTCGTTACTTTGACCTCGGAAGGTGGGTGAGCCCTTTCGAGGAGATGGATCCACGGGGTAGCGGCAAGGCCGCAGCGGAGGTGCGGAGGTTTTCATCCAGCTTAGGCATGGTTTTTCCTACCGAGTTAATCGCTGAGGGACCGCATGTACTTAGTACCTAGCGTGATAAGAGAAATAATAATAATAATATCATAGGAGAGTCGGGCTACTTAAGTACCTTACCTAGTGGTGGTGGGAAGACAAGCGGGAGAGGGGATTGGTTGCACCGAGGTGAGAATGGAAGCGAATATATGTTTGAAAGTTTGATTATGCTGTCAAGCTGTCTAGTGTATATCCGTAGGCCCAATGAAACCCGATGCCGATTATGAAGAAAGAAGCTATGCCATAAAGGAGTGGTAAGAAGTGAAACCCAGCCGTGCTCCATGCAACCCGTGTCCCATTGATCCCATCATCATCCCAAGATAGTCCGAATCATGTCGTGAAATTCGTCTCGAGTGCAAGCCGAGGGAAGCCCGGGGCTCAGCTTAGACGCTGTCAACGCAGTAGGGGATGCCGTTGAGGTAGGCGCAGTGGGAGCGCTCGGCGCAGCTGCCGACGAACTGGAGGATGTTCTGGGTGTCGCAGACCTGGATGGCGTAGGGGCCGAAACAGTCGTACTTGCCAGGGGTCTGGCACCTCTCGCCGGGGCTCTGGCCGGGACGGCCGTTGCGGGCCTTGACCTTGGGGGCGTTGTTGGTGCAGAAGGGGAGCTCGTAGCCGTTCTGGGCGAGGTTGGAGCACGAGGTGTCGCCGGGGCAGTCGCCGACAAGCGCCCACTGGTTCTGGACGTTGCAGATCTCGATACCAGTGTTGGGGGTGGTGCACCGGTAGGTGCCGAAGGTGCAGGCCTCGGTGCGCTTCTCGGAGGGAGCAGCGACGGCCGAGGCGGCGAGGACAAGAGCGGCAGCGATGAACTTCATTTCGAATGGTGGTTGTTGGGTGGTCTTGATAGACTGGAGAGTTTGTAGTGAAGAGTTGGTAGTGTTGAGTGTGGAAGATGTTGTGATGTGAGTGTTGGATGTTGTGATGATGAGGCAAAAGGGAGGATAGAAGGGCTGAAGATCGAGTCATCTTATACCCGGCTCTCACCAGGCTTCACATCTCGGGCTCCGGGCTTCTTTGCACCACGAGACCCCCTCCGCGCCATTTCGGGCACAGTCCACATGGCAGATGCTCACGGGCAGCTTCGCCATGATGCTTCTCGCCACTCCACGTTTTCTCTACGGATCCAGCGACTGGGGACGATACGAGAGAGTCAACGCCACGAAAATCCCCGATCGGGACAAAAGAAGAGACGACCATGGGTAACACGAGAATCAGCGGCTAACGAGTTCGGATTCCCCAAGGCAGTGCCCAGCGCGGGAAGCGGCTTTGGGACCTCACGTTGGGCATGTTGTTCCGGTCCGGCACCATTGGTCCATATCCAGCCCCATACGTAACCACAACGCCGTTGGGTCCTATCAGAAAAAAAGACGAGAATCCTAGTCGGCGATGGCGTCGAGGACACGAAGTCGAGCAGACTAACCGCATAATACCCGGCCCAACGTGCAGCCGTCAGCCCGTGCGAAGAGCATCGAATACGAGCGGGGGTTATTTTTAGGCTCCCCAGTTCTTGGTTCCCAGCCCGAGCCAAGCCTTTGGGACGCGGGAAATCATCAGATCAGCTCCACAACTTTCCCGGTCGGTGGCTGACATGGCGGGGGCGGAGTCTGACTCTGCGGGATCTTGACCAATGGTACTGGTGAAGGGCCGGTATGTCCGCCAGCATACTCGAAGCCGACCGACATCGCGAACAGCGCAGACCCCGTTGCTTTTCTTCACGAGCACCTCGTTTACTTTGGGCGGAAATCCCGAAGCCGTGTCTCAAACAACAGCACTCAGCTCAGGATGAAGTTAGGATGCTGACAGGATCCCAGAGGAGCCGACGGCAGCCACGTTACTTGGCTCGGGCTAGTTTAGGTACCTACTGATGATTCACTCAGCCGTCGACGCTCCTCCCCACAACATTCACACCGCTTCAACCGGCAAAGTTGAAATCCGAACGCGACCGCAAGACGAAGTTGTGCTCGCCTTGCCGCGATGCCGCGATGCCGCGATGCCGACAGGACTGATCTGTGGCTGCCATCTGTGCGGTTGTCATATGCAGCCCGAGAGACATCTCTTACATGCAGCCAATGAACAAGTGGTACGATAACCTTGCAAGGCTTCATGAGACACGGCGATCAAGATCTCTTTGAAAGAAAGGTGTCACGGGAGAGAATCTGAGATTGCACAGTTAAACTGTCACAAACTGCTGCGAGCCAGTCATGATGTGACCGCTACGACCAGTCAAAGACCTCCGGGGAGAGGAGAACTAGGCTCAACCACTCTAGTTGCCAAGTTGTTGGACGTGCATGCAAGTTTCAGGACACGGATATGCCTCAGCTTGAGTGACGTTACTGTTCAGGTTACTTCCGAGATCCGGATCGCAGTTGCGCACGGCGATCAGTTACCGGTAACATCATTGCAAGACTTGACTGCCGTTGGTAATGGAGGATCAAAGAGTGTGGTAACGCAAACGGGAGCTTCGTCCAGTGATGAACTCGAAGTTTTAGTCAATCCCGGCCGCTTTGGTCAGATGATGACTTCAGATTTTACTCCGCCATTGTCTGAGCTATCAGTCCAAGGGCAATAGCGACGAAGAATCAACGAGCGTCTTTGACTCTATCTGGCGTCTTGCGGGGCGGTATATTCGCTGTCATTTCTAGCGTATCGGTCATGCAGATTGAATCCATGTACGTAGCGTAGCGTACATGTAGTAGTTCGACCTGGATGACTACGTCAAACATGCCTCCGGTTGGGTTTTGCCACGAGGCTCATCCCAACCAAACGAGCATTCATCGGACTTTTCGGTCCGTATACCTCGTTGACCACGTCCCGTCCGTCACTACCCAGTGGGGCATTTGCGTTGTTTCTTTGTGAACGTGGCGTCAATATCGCTTCTTGGACTACCAACTCCGTCATCCGTGTACTTTCCCCGCTCTTAAACGAACCAGCTGGATCCACGCACATGAATGTGTTGATTGGTGTGTTGAGGAGTTAGCTTCCTTGAAATCACTTGTACAGTGTACCTAGAATCTCCTCTTTTCCTTTCTCCTCGCCCTTTGCCTTGAACTCGTCGACCTATCTCTCCCCGCTTTGACCCGGCGAAGAAGCCGATGCACCATCCCGTACTTCTCTAGGACCTAAGAGACTAGACAGTTTGCCACGACTCTATCTAATTCTTTGGACCCTCATAGTACGGGTCACCATCGTTGATCTCGTACTAAATCTCCCCGCCGCCGTCTATCTCCATGTGGTAAGTTGCAAGCTTCAAAATGCAGCAAGGGGCTCGGGCCAGAAAAAGCGTGAGAAGATGACGTCTCACATCAATTCTATGTCGGTTGCCATCCTCTGACAGAACACGATTGTGTTCCCGAAGGAGATTCCGTCGTGGCCATTAGCGGTGATGAGAATTCGGCGGGTACGGATATTCCGTTTCTTCTGCGGGTAACCGTCATTCCATTAACAAGGCTCCCGAAAATGGTTTTGCCGCCGCCTCCTTGGTAACTTGGAGTCTCGGGTGAGTGGTGGTATTTGTCCCGTCTGAAATTAGCTTCGTATCCAAGACATCACTGGCTTATGGGGGTCCCTCTCACTTGGTTGCGTGGCCCTCGAGGGCCTATGATGTGCAGTGGACGGTGGGTAGCAATTGAATGATTCGGATTTTCCTTCGCCAGATGAGCGTGGGCCATCGACCGCCCCAATCTATTTGAAGTAAAAGTTTCAAGCGAGGAGTAGAAGTTCAAGAACCCCATCGTCGCAGCCAGTTATTGGAGTTCCTCGGGACCATCGGTCTGCGAGCTGCCGTGGCCGGCTCAGCACATAATACCAGACATAGAAACTAGACGATGGAGCAGCTGCTCCGATTTTAATGATTGGATCTATTGCGCCCTAACACTCGCGGTTGTGGGGCGCGATTGTTGGAGAAGTTAAAGTGGTAGGTATACTACGGGTAGAGGTCGTTACATAATGTACTTCCCGGTCAGGTAGATAGATACGATACAGGTAAGTAGGGAGTGTGTGGGGATTTAGACCTCGAAGTGCTCCATGAACAAGAAGCAACCGCTGTCGAAGCTGAAGTAGATGCCGGGACTGGGAGAATGCTGAGACGAAGGAACCACATGCCAATTACCCAAAGTGCCCCTGTGGTGGCATGGTCCCCACTAATACAAGCTCTGTTAAGGCCATGTCAAGCTTTCGGCACGGGGTGAACGACTCAAGTTCCCGCACACGGGACGGACGGCACAGCAGGTCAGCAATCTAGGTACCTACCTACCTTACCAAATCCCCATCAATCACGCGGCTCCCGCTCCCAGATTCCAGGGTCTTGGGTCCAGAGAGTGCAGCATAAACCATTAACCTTGACATTAACATAACAAAGTGGCCACTATCATACAGCATGCGCAGGTAACTGCTCGACCGAATGTCCCCTGGAATCACCCTGTCCTGAATGGCTCAAGGACCGATCCCCAGCCGACTTTGTCGACTCGGGCCTGCTCAAGTCCGGCAAGTCAATACACGTCTCGTCATCATCCATCTCCTTCCCGCGCCGGGAGAAGCGCTGATCAGGCCGGTACCCTTCCCCCTTCTGACTCCTGTACGTCTCGGTCGGGTCCACGCCCCCGGTGCGACTCATCATCCCGCCCGTTCCCGTGCCGCCCCGCCCGATATAATACCGCTGCTGCTGCGACTTGTTCTCCGTCAACGACACCCCCATGGCGCCGAGACACCTCTGGAAGATGCCCTTCATGGCGGGCACGCAGGCAGCGAGCACGCCCAGCAGCTGCTCCAGCACGGTGAAGGTGCTGATGGAGACGCCCATGGCCCAAAAGTCCACGGCCGCGGTCGGGTCGCCCCAATCCTTGACAATCACCGTCTTGATGATGCTGAACACGCTCGCAAACAGGCCCATGCCCATGAGCACGCAGACAAAAATGCGCTCGCGCAGCGGGCGGTTCAGCTTGCGCAGGAAAGTCGCCGGCGACAGCGACAGCAGCACGTCGGTGGTGATGTTGATGGAGGAGCCGAGGTTGGAGACGCCACGCATCACCTCGTACGAGACGCACTTTCCGCCGGGCAGGAAGGGGTTCCAGGCGGCCTCGAGCGGCTGGCAGGCGATGGCCAGGTTGAAGAGCGTGTTGCCGATGCCGTAGATGGCCTGGACGGCCATGATGGTGTACAGGAAGATGCGCCACCCGCGCTCCTTGCCCTGGATGCGCAGCAGCGTGAGCGCGATGGATACTTTGATGCATGTCATGGACAGGCCCCAGACGGAGATGGCGAGCCACGAGTTCTTGCCGGCTTCGTATGACTTTTCGAACGATAGCATGCCGGGCTGGGGGACCATCATCGGCATCAGCATTGCGTAGTCGGCGATGGTGAGGGCCTGGTTAGCGAGTGGGTGGTTAGCTGGTTGGGCGATGGCAATGGCAGTTTCACGGGCTTCAGGGGTAATAATGGGTATGGTAAGCAAGGGGAGACATACAAAGCCGGCCACGATAAAGTAGTCGTCCAGTCCGGCCTTCCATACCGGCCGCACCCGCTGGTAGATGCGGGTGACGAAGGTGATGACGCAGAGCAGTAGCAACACTGAGCTGACGCCGATGTAGACCTGGGCGAGGTATGCAGCTCGGTCGGAGATGGGGACACCTGGTATGGCTTCCGCCGTACCGTTGGAGCCTGGGCCGCCGGGGCCCATTGGCGGTGCGCCGGTGGCGGCCGGGGCCGCCGCCGATGTGGCGCTCGACATGCTGAGGTTGTGGAACAGCGGGTGGAACACTGGATGTCAAAAAGCAAGGCAAGCGGGGTTGGAAACGAAGATCTGGAATCTGGGGTAAGGGCGCTCCTTTATGATCTGGAAGCTTTGGTTCCGAGGGGACGGTCTGGATCCCAGACTGTTCTGATCCATTGTAACCTCTTCAGCTCGATCCGATCCCCCAGGGGTCTCCCCCAGGCTCAACGCTTGACATGGTTGAAGCGTGGAAAAAGAGGAAAGTCGCTTGTGTGTTCTGCATGTGTTTCGCGCCAACGAAAGCGAAATTTCCCAGGTTTCGCGGGTGGTCGGATCCCCCGGTTGAAAGCACTAACAGAGCCCGCACCCCCCGTTACTGCAACCAGGAAGACAGCTGCTCTTCCCCATTCGACCAAGCGAGCGGCATCTCTGGCTCGGGTGCAGATGCGCACGGGCGCGGCCTGTCAAGCTGCTGTCAAAGTTCCCCTCCCGGGCCTCCCCTCCTTGACCCTTTCTTGGAGAACGCTTGACTTGGCGAGCTGCAGTCTCGCCTGGAAACTTTTTACATGGAGGAGGTCGGAGCGTCGAGCCTTTTGCGGGCCGGAACCAGCATTCTTGGATCCCGGCCGTCAAGGGGTTCGACAGTTCGTTCGCTTGGCTGTGAGTGACCAGCCAGTCCCAGCCGAACCTGCATCCGCCCGCTGCTTGGACGATGCGTGATGTTAGTGCTTATCGTTACCGAAGCTGCAGGGGGTGTCGCGATGGCGTTTCCCTAACAGGAGAAGAGAACTTTGTGGCCGGGGAGGGCGCGGGAAAAGACTCGGCACGAGCAGTTGGGAACGCTGGGAACCTCGGTGTGGGAGCCACAAGCTTTGACCCAGGACGGCCGGTAGATGGCGGTTCAATAGGCATTATATTGCAAAAGAGGACACCGCAATCTGCGCCTGCAGATCCGAGACGGCAGTTTCTCGCCCTGAAGCCGCGCAACCGAGCCGGTGCAATTCTCACTCCCGCAGCACACGGCACACGGGACGGCAGGGCTGCAAGCAAGAAGAAGAGCTTTCGCCCTCGCAAAACTCACAAAAATGTTTCGAAGGTTGTGGTTGCAAATAAAGTTGCGGTAGCATCTCCCAACCAGGCAAGGCGCGAGGCCCTGGCGCAAATCTTCCCCCTCACTCCCCCCTAGCTCCTTGTTTGACACGATGGCTCTGTCGCCTTCTCCTGTCATCCAGCTTACCCCTGATCCTAGCTAAAGCGCAGATCGATCTGGGAACCACCCAGAGCAGTATGGACACCGCTGATCTGTCTCTGGAAGTTCACGTTTAAATGTTGATTTTTTCCTGTCCTATCAAAACCCTCCTTGCTGAAGATCTGTTGGTCGCGATCTGATCGGATGAACCCCGTTACCACGCTGATTCCAGAATGTGCAGAATCGAGAGGCAGAATGGTCAACCCCTGCCATCCCCATGTCCCATGCCCGCCCCCTGCCACACCACAAGCGACCGGAGAGAACAGAGGCGTCACAGCCTTCATGTCATCCCTCCCCGCAGCCATCAGCCCCGAGCGCACACTCGTTACCAGCAGGACACGGGCCACAAGATCATGTACGCTTTGAACGAGGCGTCAACGCCTCCTCACTTCAACCAGGAGAAGCCGCCTATAGACGGACGGGAGGACCTCCAGCCCCTTACCGATCAGGAAATCGCTGACGAGAGTTCTCACCGCATCCATCACCTGCGTTCTGCATGCATGCAGGCAGGTCCGATCAATTCGAAACCAAAGCAGGAACAAGCAATCAAGCCCCCATCAACCGAGCCCCGTCCCTCTTTTTTTTTCTTTCCGTCCCCTCCCATCCCGCTTCCCAAGATTCCTCACCTTTCCCTCTTCGGACAGCTCTCCGGCACACCTCGGCGGCCCGTGCCCCTTCTAACCATCTCTCTGCAGTTTGCACCCACAAAGGCACCATTCCTTGGAGCATTGGCGCGCCACGGCTTGCGGCCGTTGATTCCGCGGCCGTTTTAGCTCCACTAGGGCCAAGGCTAACGACGCATCTTCTCGGGGCTTTGGCCACGGGATGGTCGGCCAAGAACGGCTTTCGAACCCTTCTCGAGCACAAAAACTCTTGGCTTTGTTTCCATGGGCCCGGGGCTCAGGCCCTTGTGTGGTCAAGGTCCCAGCTTTGAAGGTCCTCGAGAGGGGAAACGGACGGACAGTCTCTGGGAATGACAACAACCAGCTTTTCGAAGTGACAGTGACTGGCCTGCATCTGCATACATGTAGGTAACCTACATGCAACCACAGGAAGCGTACCCGACTGTTACCTACGCTGTGTACTGCTTGACAGAAAGGGAAAGGAATGCCCCTCTGTACATATTCACACATGCATACATCGCAAACAAGCTTGAAGTGGTGGGCCATTCGCGTAACGAAAGTCGAAGCTCGCCAAATTCTATTTGTAAGTAATCTCCGAACCAACACGCGCTGACGAAACAATGGACTTCGGAGTGGCCCCATTCCGGTCAAGGGCCTCGCCTTTCAATAAGAACTGTGCAATGACCGATCAGCCCTGCTCAGATTCGGAAAATTGGCAGCGCTGGGTAACCTAATCGATGTTCTGGACTCCTGTCCGACCATTTTGCTCGAGGTGAAATGTGCATGGCGTAGGCCTACCACGGATAGACATGAACTTAACAGTGTGGTGCCAAAAACAGTCTCCCCGGCTCGAACCCATCTGGCACGGGTATCGATGTTCGGTACCAATCTTGAAACCACTCCCAAATTGTACCCTCCCTCACAGGTAACATCATCAAATCGGCACAACTCCCTGAGGACCTTCCTTTGCGAGCCCTTAATACAGCCGGAACACAACCGAGAAGCTTGCCAGAGACGGCCGACCTGCTTGGTTGAATTACGAAGCAAGTAGTGCGGATACTCGAGCGCAAAAACCAGCAGGTTGGTACCGAGGTTGATCGTAAGCGAAAGCGAACCCTGAGGAACGAACAGATAATCCCACAGTAAACTGAGAGAAAGATGATCAGATCAACTTGGCGCCGAGGGACTCCCCTGGATCAGGCGATGCTTGCAAGCAGAGGGACGAGCGAACGAATTCTGAGATGTCTAAGGTGTTATGTGGTTGACGACTCAGGGGAAGAAATACGGGTGGTCGGCCAGGCCATAGATCTGACGCTTCCGCTGTGACATCTGCACCCCTTACTCTTCCAGACCGCCCTTAGTGTTTCCTGCAAGGTGGCTATCCTTATGACGGCAGTCCTCCAGATCTAGTTCCTGTGCAATAATACCGTTGGCGGCTTCCCGTGTAGAAGCCTAACCCCCTGGACTCCCACCCCCAACACGCCGCAATGGTATTTCCGAGGACACCACACGAGCAATAAGGCAGATATCTGCACTCACGCATCAAATGCACTGTCACTGTCATTGTTTCTTCCGCCCCGCGTTGGTGCAGATATGTCGAGGTCACAGCCTCATAGATGGCCGATCCGAGACTGGAGACTGCACTGTGTGTCACCGTGTGTGTTTCGGCCAGGGCAGTGCCGTCTACCTATTGCCTCGCCGTTGTCGGATGCGGAAACTGTCTCCAGCGACAATAGCAGGTGGGGTATCATCTTTATATCAACCGGCACAGTCACATATCCGGATACTCCTATCCTTGCCGAGCAGGGTATGTCGGTCGCTGATATCGACCTACCGGACGTTACCTACCTATGGAGGTTGCATGTGCGCAGACTGGATCGCACTGACGAGGCCCGTGCACACCGTACACGCTCCTCCAGCGTTGCCGTGCTGCGCGCTTTGCAGTATCCGTACCGGCCAATTGTACGTGAATTGGTTTTGTCGATGCCAACGCGGTCGATGATGTTAAGGTGTTTGTCGAGCCGCCTATAGGTGTGCTTCTCTATCTCCACGAACGGTGAGTAGGCTCTCGCGGTAAGGTGGCTTGGAGGTCTTGTTACGGTAGGTTTGTTAGTAAACGTGAAGATGACCCCAGACATAGTGACCTGAACCGCCCATCAACACCGCGCCCCTTTTGACTGTAAACACACCGTGTGGTACAACTCAGCCGCTTCGCTGGCGGCCACGGGTACTGGGTTATGTGCACAATAAAATATTTGCATTGTTTGTCTACTAGTTATTGAGGAAATTTCGACGTGTTTCTTGGGGATTGGCCACCTCATTTGATGTTGGGTGTCTACCTCTACATGTAGCTAACGTACCTGTCACCTGCCACCTGCTTATTACCCATTTGACCTATAGTCTCTTAATAATTATTCTATTTTAAGCCGGCAGGTAAATTGTATGACGGGGTGCCTAGTAAATACCCCTCTTCCCTGCTCATTTGTCAGTTTTGACATTGGCCTGAACTCTTGTGTTTAGAGTCATCTAGGAGTATGAGAGCTCATCTAACGTGTAAACCCAAAAGGCTAGTTGGCTACTATCCCATGACAGGTACCTCTGTTTACAAGATAAAGGTAAATCAGATCAAAATAACGGCCATGTAGAGAGTCGTGTCATTAAAACTTCAACCCCTCTTCTCCTCTCCCAGTCTGCAATAGACCACACATGGGTAAGTAGACAACCAGAACTCAGACCCAACGTTTTTGGGATACAATTAGATACTGAGGTACCTACTTATAGACAGTCAAAACACTATGAATTAATCATAATACTTTCCTCACTCAAAATTAGAATTGCGCACCGCACCAACCCCACCCTCCCCCCACCAAAAAAAAAAAAAAGAAAGAAAAGAAAAAAGAAAGAAAAGACATTAAAAACATGTTGTGATGCCATGCTACCATCGACTCGAGGTAGACTCCCTGTAAGCCTGAAGATTACCTACCAAACTTACAATAGAGATTCAAAACACATATGCCGTGCATCCCTTGTACTTTGGTACATCTATGTTCGAGGACAACGCCATGCTCGCTACGCGCAGTGAGCTTGTGGCAACATTACAAGTACGCATGGTGTCCTGGGTATGATCTAGCATGGCTTTCCAACCCTCGACCGATGGCGCAATTCTGGCCCTGACGGCGGTCATCCTGTTGCTCCCACCATTGGCTTTAGTAACTCTGGGGCCCCGCATCCATCAGCACGGCGGCCCTGAAAGATCTTAGATCTCTCCACTGCGGCGGCCTTACCCGCGACTACGGCACAAAGTTTATCTCGACTTCACCCCACTTCATCCATTCCATCGAATCTTAGAAGTTTGCAGGCTCTCGGTCCATCGGTCGGACTGCTCTTTGAATCCGATATCTTACCCCTCCCCCGAACCCCTCACCGCCCCATAAGCCCTCCCCCGCCGTACTAGTGAAGTCCGCTCTTTTCCGGCGCACAGGTTGGTCCGCTTGCCGGTCTCCGCACACCGCCCGCGGCACAAATGGTAGGGTTGAACATTAAGCAAATGATCCCTAGGCCAGTACGGCGATCAAAATAAACCCGGATTTCTCAGCGGCTGGGATTATGATATATTCGTGTCCTCAGTGGTTTCAGCTTCCTCGGCCTGAATTTGTCAGCTGTCGTCGGTCGAGTTGCGCCGCACCCGCGATCCACTGTTCTGGAAATCCGAGGTTGCGCTGGTGTGGAACCCGAGAGCCGCATCCGATTATTAATAAGTGCCGCGATGGGCGACGGGGCCATCCATAGGAGGGGAAAGTGGTGAGGATTGGTCGATGTCGGGGGTGAGGGCGGGTCAGGTAAAGCTCTTGGTGTCTGGTATCAGGGGTGATCCAATGGTTGCGCCGGAGACTTTTCAGACATGCGCGTGGAGGAGAATTGGCTGGAGAGTCGTCGAAACAGCTCCTCCTTGTTAAAGTGCCCGCCCATAAAAGTACCCACTCCCCCGCCCTCTGAAGTGACCTGACGCAAACCCAACCTCATCGACATCCACCAGCCAAGGGAAGAGCACCGAAAACATCACCAGCCAAGCAACCAGCAACCAGCCTCTTCAACCCCCTAACCAAACCAACCATCAAAATGGCTTCCGTCTCCCTCTACGATGTCTCTATCGGGATGACCATCCAAACGCTCGACACCCTCGTCGACCTCCTGAAGAAGGCCCAGGAGCACCCGGAGGCCGCCACCCTGGCGGACACGCGTCTCATCGACGACATGAAGCCCTTCTCCTTCCAGATCATCGCCGTGACCAACTTCGCCAAGAAGTACGTCGAGCGCCTGACGGGCCGCAAGGTGGAGGTGTGGGAGGACAACGAGACCACGCTCGAGCAGCTCCTCGCGCGCGTCAACAAGACCCTCGACCTGCTCAAGGCCGTCTCACGCGAGGAGGTCGACGGGTCCGACCGCGAGACCGTCAGCCTCCAGGTCGGCCCCTACAACCCCGTCGACGCCACCCCGTCGCAGTACGTGCTCGGCTTCGCCATCCCCAACATCATGTTCCACTTGACCATGGCCTACGGCCTCCTGCGGATGAAGGGGATTGAATTGGGCAAGAGGGATTTCATGAACCACTATATGGCGGACTGGTTCAAGCCGACTATGAAGGAGCAGTAGAGAGGGGTGATACGGAGGGACTGGAATAGAAAAGAAAGTTGCATGCTCAGCTGGGGAAAAGATAGGATCTGGAGAGCAATAGAATTCTGATTTCTTTCATGATTGCCGTCCTTTGAAAACCACAAGTTGACCATGAACAAATATTAACTCACGTCCCTAAAATCCCAAGATCCTGTTGGCCTCGGCAACCACGGCCTTGCCGCCCGGGGTATCATCCTCCGCCGTAGAGAGTTTGTCAAGGCCCATGGACTGGACACCGGCGGGGTCGCAGTACTTCTTGACATACTCCTCGGTCCCCCGCCCGATATGCCTCGATTCGCCCTCACCACCAGGGAAGTCCGGTCCTGGGGTGCCCTGCAGGAACGCGGCCCGTTGTCGGACCATGTACTCGGCGCTGGCCTTGGTGGTAGGGCACACCGGGATGTATAGGACGCTGGAGTCGGAAGTGCCGCTGTGCTTCTTGTCGACGGCATGGATCGCTACAACCGTGTCAGTATCACCTCCCCAACTCTCGGTCCAGAAGCAGGAGGGGGCACTCACAGTCGCAATGCCAAACGACATAATCCCCCGGCCTCACCTCCGGCACATGCACCATGGTCCGATCCAGCTCCAGATGCGGGTGCGCGCCCTCAGGAAACTCCTGCGCACACCCCGGCATGGCCCCCTGAATCTCACTGTCCATCTTCTCCCCCCCAGTAAACTCCCAATTCCCCTCCTCCAAATACCGCTCCTTCACCCCACCCACCTCCTCCAACCCCCCCCTCGCCCTAAAAAACGGCCTCAGCAGCGCATACACCCCCGTCTCCCTCACCAACGGATTCACCAACAGCGTCCCCCGCAACGGCCCACTCTCACTAATCGCCAACCACCCCTGAAACATCCTAAACATGCTACACGCCCCCAGACCCCCATACAAATCCGTCACGGCCCCGACCCTCCCCGCCGCATCATACGCATCAAACCCCTCCTCCCACCCCCCCTGCCACACCCTATCATACACGCCGCCCCTCCCATACCCCTCCTCCTCCCACCTCTCCACACTGCCCGCGTCCTGGTGGGGGCCCAGGGCAAAGTGCGCGTCGCCCGGCTGGCGGATGCGCAGGCGGTCGGCGTAGGCGAGCGGCGTGTGCAGGGAGAGGGGCGTGGAAGGGTTGGAGGCGGTGTGCCAGAGCGTGGTCATCAGGGCGCGTTGCGTGGTGAGCAGGGAGGGGTGGGCGCGGGCGCGGATTTGGGCAGGGGACCAGTACAGCTCGAGGATTTGGGGGGCGGTGGGGGGGAAGCCTTGGGGGAAGGGGGTTAGTGGTGGGTTGTGTAACGGGGTGGTGACTTATGGAATGGGAATTGGGGATGAGGGATGGGGGATGAGGGTAAATGGAAGGGGAGGAAAGAAGCGGAGCTTACCGCGGGTTTGTGGGTTCTGGCGGGCGTATTCTTCAATCTCAAACTTGTAAGATCGGGCTTCGTCTTCGGGAATCACGCCCCGGATAACCGCCACGCCACGCTTTTTTATCTCGGGCTTAAGTGTGTCCAGGTCCTCTTGGAGATGGCTGAATCGGATCTCGGGAACGATGGCGGGTCCAGTACGGGCGATAATCTCATTCTCTTTTTTGAGCGTCGCCAGTAGGCGCTTCCAGCTGGCTATAACGGCATCCTCGTGACCCTCTACGAGGCGTAATTTGAGCTCACGGAAGCGGTCTGGGAGCGGCTGAGCTTCCCTCCCCGAGAGCGAGGCGAATGTGTCAGAGATATCCCCCTCGGCTTTACCACCCGGTGAACTCATGGCCGCCATGGAAGTAGCATGGCGAGGGTGATGTCGCGAGAGTTGGCGCGTACAGGTTTGGTTGACGGCACAACACCTGGTACCGCGGAGTGACCTAAAAAGCATTATGGCTGGAGCAACGGAGGAACAAGACAATGGGTTCAAGATGAGCTGTGGAGTGGTTTTTGGTGTTGCTTGATGATATCGAGGGCAGGTGGGGAAGTTGAAATAGGCATGGCTAACGCACCCCCAATTGACGAGAAAGGCTTTATAAGATTCATCTCAAACTTCAGGAAGCCACTCTCGACACCGAATACCCCATAACAAAGCTTCAGTCTTCCATTGACGATCGGGTTCAAGCGGAAGTACTGAATCGGGAAGTACATGCAATGAAAGCGACGTCATTCTTCCCCGAGGTCCGTGCAAGATCAGGGTTGAATGGAGCCTCGTAATGAGGCGAAGGCAAAAAGAAAACCCAAGGAACGGCCATATTTCGGTTTTAAACCCCATTAAACAAGGCGCCTTCGGTGCGCTTTCCGCAATTGCCAGGCTGTTCCTCGTCGAAGGCGAGTTTCAAGGAGCTTGAACCAACACAACGGGAAGGAGCGAGCAAATGGCGGAGTGACCGGAAAGGGTAAGCCCGCTGTATGGCCCCACCCTGGCTTGGCCCCACCGATCCACAACAATCCATCGATTTTCGGCGTTCATCGACACGCGAAGACGAAAAAGGTCCATTTCGGATCGAAAGACGGCACCGGCGGCAGCACAAGCGCCTACCACAGTTGCACAGCACTGAGAGTCAACCCACTAGCAACGTATTGTCCGACTTCCTCTTACCTCTCATTCCGCACTATGGCAGGCGCCAGCCCTATCAAACCCGCAGCTGGGCACATTGTCAAATTTGTGGGGCATGATGCCACAGGGTTGCCCGTCAAACGCAAACAGGTCCATCAAGCATGTCTACCTTGCCGGAAGCGTAAGGTATTTTGAACTCTATACCGGCTATCATTTACACTTATCTGACCCTTTTAGAAACGCTGTCGCCATGTTGAAGATTCGGTCGTAAACATTCAACCATCAGACCAACCCGACCAGGAGCCGAGCCATGACGTTGCCAGTGACGGCGGGGAACGGCGGAGTAAACTCCCACGCCATGCGGCCCCTACCGACAGGGACACGTCCGATGCCGCCGCCCAACTGCTCCGCTTCTTCCACCACGCCTCCGATAAGGCCGCCAGCAGCAGCCCGGAGAGCGACCAGACGCAAGAACTCCGTCCAATGTCCCCAGCACCGCCATTCTTAGGAGATCTCAACCCCGAAGGCATCCTCGTCGAAGCCACCATGGCCCCGTCCCGGAAGACTCCCCCAGCAGATGAGGATTCCGAACATCAGGTAATCGGTTACTTGCCCCCGGCCTCTCCTCGAGAGTCTAGAGGACCATCAACCCAGGGGCGGCCCGCGGCATGCACTGGCAGCCCTCACCTAGTCGAAGAAACATCCGGCCCGTTTTTTTCTGTCCCGCGCGAAGATGGCACGAGCCTCACCATACACGTGCAGGACACGGCCAAGTTCGCAGCCATTGCCCAAACCCTTGTCAATCGTGGACTGGCCGACAAGGTGATGCCATCGGACACGGAGTGGCAGGCCTTGAGAGACCTGTTTTTGACCAAAATCCAACCCATCTTTCCCATCTATGAAAGGTCGTGTGTTGTGACTCTACCAAAAGAGAGAGGCTTGCGAGAGCTCGTTAAAGGATCTGTTTGCCTCGCCGCCGCCACCGACCCAGAGGCTCGCAACCTGTTAACCTTCAAATCCTCTGTAAATGGGTCCAGAACACAACGAGTGGTGCCCTTCGACGACTATTCCCGAGAAATGGCCAGTTTCATCAACAAGCGTCTTGTCGAGCTGCAAGAGAGCCGTCAAATCCCATTCACCGACCAAATCCAAGTGATGGCTCTGACCTGCTTTTACTGGCAGCCGGCGAACCCCACCGAGAGGTTTGAACCGCTGAATTTATACGCCAAACTTGTCAGCATGGTACACACCCACGGCGTGCACCTGGGGATTCTGGCAAGCGCGGCCGCCGAAGGCAGCGTAAAAGGCCGCGGGAAAAGGCTCTTCAAGTGCCTATACGCTCTCGACAGATTAGTTGGAGCCATATCTGCGCGTCCACTCATGTTTCATAACGTCGACTTGATACAAGTTCCTCGCCCAGACGCCGAGGATACGCCCATCTTCAGATTCTTCCTATCCCTGATTCTTCTTCTTGATCAAGTCATCGAAATGTACCGACCACGGCCGAAGGTAAACTGCATTGACATACCTGTTTTCGAGCGCATGGCCATTGAAGCGGGGGCGCAGTGTGAACCAGAGATCCTCCTTGGTAGGTGCCGCGTCTCTGAAAGAACCGAGGCCACGAGCTAACACCAGGGCCCCAGTCACGCTTGAAGTACTCTACCATGCCATCGGTGTCCTTTCGGTACGCATGCCTCGGCACCGTTTTCGAATGGCTCCCGAGTGTGATGCCCCTCAAGGGCCGCCCACACAACATTTACCGCCCAGTAGCATGAATGCCCGTCGATCACATTCCGCCGATCGCATTCTTGACGTAATCAAAGACTACAAACTCAGCCCGATGCCCTTTGTGCCTTACGCCATCACGCTATCGCTTAGTGTCGCGTACCGTAAGTGGCGGTTCAGCCAACTTCCCATGTTCCGGACCAGAGGTGGCGCCGATTTCAAAAAGGTGCTTCCCGTGGTACAGGAACTGGGGGCCATATGGAGCAGTGCCCGGATCAACGGACAACTAGGGCAAGCTGTCATGTTAAAGCTGGATCGCAGTGAGATGATGAATAGGGACAGGAAGCGGGCGAAGAAAACCGCCGATGCCGCCAGAGCCAAGAGCGGACGAAACGGAGCGCTTCGCGGAGCGGAAGATCAAGACGCATCAACCGGAAGTCTGGGCGGCGTTGGAGCTGAAAATGTTACGGAACCTGCAATGGCACATCTGACTTCAGCACCCGGAGGCAGCAGTATTACTCCTCCCGGAGCGCCCTCCAGTCCACTTACGGCACCTGAACCGACCCAGAGGGCTCAATCCCGGGGCACCTTGGACACACCCCTTGGGCCATCAACTAACTTTCGACCGCTGCCCTCCCCTGCAGCCTCATGCCTTGCTGACCGACAACAACCACAATCCCTACCTCTTACGTGGACTACCGCCTGGACGGCCGACAATAGCAACAGCAACGTACCCGCTAATCACTCATGTTTCGCACCGGCCAAAGACAACATCCCTCACTCCAATCCGATGCAGCAACCAGACGCTCCCCTTGGCTACCATTGCGGCCAACCAGACGACGCTATCCCATTGCCCGGGGATCTGCTTGCCCAACCGACGGGCCCCCACGACACGTCGCCGCTGGCGGGACTGTCGGATGGCAGCCTTGAAGACTTTTTGAATGACGATGACGCACTGTTTCGATCATGGGACCCGCGGTTTGCACAGTCGGTCGACTTCTCCTTTAGCAGCATCTTGGACCCCGGCAATCCTTTTGCATGACCGGAGTATTGTAATTACACGTCATGAGCGGGTTCACAAATGTCTGGGGTGTCCGAGAGCATTAGAGCCGGGCATTCATGGCGTCACACAAAGAAAGCAACAGGTGGCAGACCTCATGATTCGAATATGTGTTGTCTGAAGATACAAATTTACAAGATACATAATTATGGCGTCAATCTCCTATATATTCTGCGCAAACCTTGTAGCCTTATAGCGCAACCTTAACGCACCTAAACGCCAGCAATACACCCCTAGAACTCCGACTCCGAATACAACCCCAGTCATCTTTCTTTACCCATCACATCAAAACGCCATCACCAACCACCATAGCCACTCCATCTCCCCAATCCCAACCTAAAACGCCCTCCTAGGCGCCCCCAGAGGCGTCGCAGGCAGCTCAAACCGTTGTACATACCCCTGTCCATGTGACTGCCTATGCCGTTGCCTCCGTGGTTGCCCATACCCAACACTCGGCCACGCATCCAGTTCCTGCCGCGGCACCACCCCAAACCCAGAACCCCCATGGTACGGCTCCCCATACGCAGGCGGGTGATACCACGCCGCCGCACCACCACCACCATTCCCAACCCCACCACCATTCTTGTCCATATGCTTATTCTCCCACCCATCATACCCTCCAACCCCCACCCCGCCTTGATACTGGCCGTGGACCGCCCCGGCCTGACCCCTCTGCCCCGCCGCCAGAACCGCGTTCTTATTCCGTCGCAGCTTCACCACTAGGTATACCACGACCGCGAGCGCGAGGGCGAGCACCGCCGCGCCGACGCCGATGCCTGCCTGTACGGCGAGGGAGAGGGCGGCGGCGGAGGCTGCGTCCGGTGACGGGGGGTTGGAGGGTGTTGATGAGGGTTGCGTGTTGGAGGGGGGTGGGTCGGTGGGGTAGGCGGGTGATGAGGATGTTGTGGTGGTGGCGGTGGTGGTGGCAGTGCCTGGTAGGTTGATGGAGAGGTAGGCGGAGGCGGAGTCGTCCCAGATGGCGAAGATTTGCGGCTTGGAGGGGAGGACGTCGAAACGGGCGATGCTGGCGTCGCAGCAGGGGACCCGGTGGTTGTCGCAGCAGTAGGTGGTGTCGGAGCCGGTTACGTTGGCGCAGGAGGTGAGGTCGGCGGGGACGGTGTTTTCCGCTGGGGTGGCGGTTGGTGATTAGTGGGGGTTGGGTTTGGTGGGTGTGCTGTGCGGGTGGGAGTTGGAGCTTGGGGGGAGAGGAAGGTCGACTTACTCATACAGAGTGCGGCGCAGGCGGTGGAATCCCAGCTCTTATCTGTGCAAGAGCTCCGGACGGTCGTCCCACCCGGCCCACGGCATAGGTTGTTGCTCATGCACATCATACCTTTGTCGCCGTCACAGCACGCGCTATCGTCGGCATTCGGGTTGCATGGGGAGTCGCTCACCGCGATCTGGCCGTTTGGGTAGTAACAATACTTTTCCGTCAACGAGAAGCAGGCAAGGGAGAGGAGCGTGATGGCCCAAGTCAGTATCCTCATGTTGAGCTGTGGAACTTTTGTCACTGTGTATCTCGTGGGTGGCCGGATGGGTAAGTGAGAATGGGCAGTCGAAAAAAGCAGAAGAGACGGCTCAAGCAACTAATTGCCCATGAAGACGGCGAGCATGTTACTGTTATCGTCGGCCAGTCAGCTACCAGACGGCCACGTTGTGTCGTTTTGCCATTTGGGCGCTTAGGATATCCATACTGGCGGTAAACTAAGCGCATACATGGGAAGGGGGGGCACGATACTGCTCAGCCGCTATCTCGGTTACTGATCCCGGAGGCGTTGGTGTTGTTTTGGACCCGACAGTTTGGTCAAGGCGCTCACAGCCCTGCATGAGCAATCAGACGCTCGATTGTCTTTGGCTGCTTTTAGGCTGTTGGTTACAGAGATGCTCCCCTGAAGTTTGACGTCCCCATCATTGGCTTTGGCGGCCACCCCTGGCTCAAGCCCGCGAAGGAGCGTTAAATAGCCCCCGACAATTGGTTCATTCTCCGGACCGCAGACACGACTGCTCGCGATCGGCGCACCATTGGTTGCCTTCTTCATGATGGTTCAACCGCCAATGTCTGCTGCAGTCGTCATCCGCGACAACAACGCCTCGGCCACTCAACAGTAGCACACTCGCGCCTGCGCCCACGTTTCCGGTCCGCATCTCAGGCTTATCGACAGCATGTTGTCGACTTATACGCCCAAGAAATACTTATTCCCGCTACTAGCAACTATCACATTACTATTCCTGTCGGCGGGGCACTACTCATACAAGAATTACGGGGAGAGTACGTTGGACTGATACATATCATCACATCTTACTCACATTCATCACTCCACCAGATTTCATCGCATCTCTGGACTTGAGTGTCCCAAGGAACATCGACACTAACACACCCGACAGAAAGCATCCTCAACCAGCCCCCTAACCAAGTCACCCCCCCTCCTCTGCTTCAACAACCCTTCCCCCCCAAAATCCGGCAAAGCTGGAAAGACGACTCGGAAAACCCCACCGAGCGCACCATCGGCTCCCCACACCAATGACGCGCCACCAACCCGACCTGGCTATACGAGCGCATCACCGACGACAACATGGGCACATACATGCACACCCGCTTCGCCGCCACCGACCCCTCCCTGGCGGACCTCTTCACTAGCCTTCGCGACCCCATCCTCCGCGCCGACTTCCTGCGCTACCTCATCCTGCTGCGCGACGGCGGCGTCTGGGCCGACATTAATGTCTACCCGCATAGGCCGGTGGCGGAGTGGGTGCCGGAGCGGTTTCGCGGCAGGGTGAATCTGGTGGTGGAGATTGAGAATGATCATCATAGGAAGCCGATCTCATCGGGCTTGCCGTACTCGGTGCAGCTGGCGCAGTATACGGTGCTGGCGAAGCCGGGGCATCCGGCGGTGGGGGTGTTGGTGGAGGAGGTGACGGGGAATTTGAGGCGGTTGGTGGGGGAGAAGGGGCGGGTGGTGGTGGGGTGACGTTTGAGGATGTCATGTCGACGACGGGGCCGTTTGCGTTTACCAGGGTGTTGATGGAGTATTTTACGAATGTGACGGGAGTAGTGCATACGGGTGGTGACTTCGATCGGATGGAGGAGCCGAGGCTGATTGGGGATGTGCTTGTCTTGCCGAAGGACAGCTTTGGGTGGCTGCCGCAGGAGCATACGCACGATAAGGGGGATCCCATGATTTTGGTGGAGCATTTGTTTATTGCTTCGTGGAGGGCACGACACCCGGGGTGAGGAATGTGGGTGGTAGACGGTGATGCTTCGGCAACTCCGGAGGATATGCACAACATAAACTGGCATCGATGCCGTCGCACCATACTCGACAGGGTTGATACGGTCGGCTCCCAATGACCCCCTCTTGAGCCTGGTTCGGGCGCACAGCGCAAAGGGCGGTGGGCGCTGATATTGAAAGGTCGGGCAGTTTAGGCCAAGTCATTGCCAGTGGTTAACCAGGCTCTGCGCGGATGCATGTACCGTGTCGCCGTTCAGGGGACGGTTCGGCCGGGACCATTCCAACGGTTGAGAGTCGAAGACGGCGCCGTAGGAAAAAGGCAACCCCGCTTGGAGGGTTGAGAAGTATGCACCGGGTGGGTATCCAGGTACTCTGATGGGTTCTAGTGGCGTTAGTGCGACGTAAATGCTACTTGGATAGATACCTACTTATCTAGAATAATCATGACACCGACCTGCTGGTATTTAGATTTATAACTGCCCTCTTCTCGAGATCACCACAAAATAATCTTTGCTTGAAATTCTCCCTGATGAGCTGCAATGCTGCGCCGCAGATGTCAACCTGACAGGACGTAAGCATCCAGGTCTCACTCGGTGATTTGTGTGGTCAAGCATAGCGCAAAGTTCTGAGTTCGAAACAATCGTACCCCGAGTAAAGGTACTTGTCATGAATTATGGCGGGAGACCGAATGTCAACCCCTGAGGCTATGGTTGGGGTCTCAGTGTGCCGACTGCTTTGGTTTAGTTTTGGTCTGTTCCATGCCACCCTCTAAGAGCATGTCCTAAGTATGCGGCGCTAAGCTCACCACTCGGTTAAGATCCAGAAGGACCGCAGTTTCGATCTTGGCCCGATTCAACGGCCGTTGCCATGTTACAGATTGCGCCCGTGTCCAGAGTCTCGAACCCCCTCACCGCCCTGAACGGTCTATTCTAGGATTGCCTATCTGGCGAAGTTGAAAGGGCCAGAGCATCAAGTATTAACCCACACCACATTCCATGAAGTATAATAACCTCCATCACATCTCCCGTCAATAGCTCTTATCCGCGACCATCTTCATCATCACATCAGTTCCACTCACCAGCGCATCCAAACAAACAACACTCGCACTCAAAACCATCAACCAACCAACCACCCAAAACAAAATGGTCGTCATCATCAAAGCCTGCTCTGTCTGCCGCCCGATCGTCCGCGAGGCCCTCGTCAAGGCTGGCGTCCCGCACACCGAGACGAAGAACAAGGCCAGAAACACCAGCTCCTTCACCATCCAGGCCCCCTCGCCCAACACCTACACTCCCAGCTCGCTGGCCGCGCTGTGCTGGAAGGCCCTCCGCTTCCCGTTCCACCGTAAGAGGAAGAAGAAAATAATAAACGTCAAAAATCCAATAATGAGGGTGACGATAGTGAGGATGGTAATGATAGTGGCGATGATGGTATTGGTAGTGGTAGCTCTGGTAATAATCCTTCAACTTCAAATAGAGTAATACGTTTATCTCCTCTTGAAGAAATTGAAAAGGAAGAGAAGTTTTACTCCAGGCGGTTACGAACGGGAACATTGTTGCTTGTTCCAATGTTGAGGGTCAGAGATGAGTGGGTGGATGTGGAGCATGGGGGTGAAGTGGACGGGATTGTGAGTTGGGGGTTGTGGGCGGGATACCGGGGATAGGGGGGAGAGGGGACAGGCTGGTCATGTTTTGGGATGGGATTTAGAGATAGAGGAGGTCCCTGCTGGCCGGGGCTGTCTGAGCTGTGCTCGATAATTGAATAATTTGGGAGGATCTCCACTGTTTTGACTCGAAATGTAGTGTGTTGTGGTGATGGATGAAACTGATTGAGAGGTCTCGACGCCCCTGCGCAGTTAGCAGCCCGGTTTCTACAAGTTCCTGAAGTGGTTGTGCTACTGGCAGGGAACATTTTAAGAAGGGGTTTCCTTAATTTGAAGACCTGAAGATGCCGTCAGTGGACCTCTGTTCCCGGGAAAAAGTTTGACGGTTGTTTCCGCCCCCCCGTGCTTCCATCCCTTGCATAAGTAGGTACTTACGCTTCAACTTTCATCCCTTTCCAGCTCTCCTGCCGCCCTTCACAATTTCCAAGGGATAGTTGCACAGTAAGCACCGTACATAATGTGCACATCGAGTCACCGTCGGGACCGAGTTTAAACCGCCACTTTGATCCTTCCTAGCCAAGCGCGTTTTTCATCTGCCAATAAACGGAACGTCTTTGTCTTGTGGCGCTCGGTGAGCGTGGGATAAAGACAAGCATCGCAAGACCAGACCCCGCACACTGTCCGTTTTGTTTGCTCGTCATGGCTGGGGTTCACACGTGCTACCCCGGATCGAGCAAGAGCTGATCTTCATCATGGTATGCTCAAAGCCATGCATGCCCCAATTTCCAGCTTTTGCTGCATTGCGTTCCTGATCGCCGCGGCCATGCTACAGGCAATGCAAGTGGCGTCTCCAAAGCAAACTTAACCCTCTGTGTGATGTCAACTCCGAGTCTGCAGTATCCTTATGCTTGGTAAAAGCGTCATTATGGATCGAGCTCAGATGCTCACAATCGCCCGGCCAATCGAGTACCTCCTCTCGGGCATATCATCGACCTCGGCCATAATAACCCGCTTCATCCGCTCTGTACGCGTTGCCCATGCGGACCTCGCAGCTGTGACTCGCGATCTATCCGACTTGCGACTGGTTTTAGAGTTGCTGAGAGATGAGCCTAGCATACCGTTAGTGCTTCAGGCACAGATGCTGCTGGTCCTGGAGAGCTGTGGGAATCACCTTGATACATATCGACACCATTCTGGCGCGATGCTCCGAACTCATAAGATGGGTCGATCTCGGACGGGTTGAGATCTTGAGCTGCCGGTTCAACCTGACCACTTTCCGAGAAGCCCTCACCTTGGCCCTCGACGTGGCGAGCTTGTAATCTTCCCTTCCTCTCCACGTCCACAGCCCCTGATTCTTTGACCTCCAAAGTTCTAACATCTTTGCTTGGGGCAGAGCGACTTGGCCAGATAACCTTGCGGCAGATGCCCACGCACTGAGACATAAAATCAACTCCGAAGTGCAGCGTCTCCATACCGAAGCGCCACTCACTCGGCATGACTACCACGGTACGAAGACAGTGATACTCCCATACCTTGATGTGTGTGTCAGGTTGCATACAGGATCCGGTCAGTCTCGCAAATCGTAATAGCCATGACAGTGAAACTGAAAAAACAACGTACGTGTGACGGCACCTAGATTTGAATAAGACTGACAAGATATAGAACTCCCGTGGACGAAACGGTGAGGTCTGACCCCAACCCAGTGGCCGCCGACATCAACCGCGATGTACACAATTCGGGCGGGAAGCTGGAGAACACTTTGATGATGTCGGCGTATTCTGGTCGCGGCGGAACAACAACAATATCTTGTCGTACTACACGGAGGAGCCTGCATCATTGAGTCCTTTGCAAGGAGAACCGAAACCCGTCACCGGGCCTTCCGGAATCTCCCACGCTACCAGGAAAGGAATGGCGGCCGCTGCCTCTGCCCCAGAAGCCTCTCCCTCCTCCGGTGACTGAGCCGGCTCGGGAACACAGCGGTTCAATATCTATAAAATCAGAACCGCCAACTTCCGCTGGGAGTATGGACATCGAGCTCCCCACAAGTACCTACTCCCAAGAGCGAGCACGAGACATAAAAGACGCATACTTTTCTCAGGACACACGAGTGATGTCACTTGCATCTCATGTCTCGGGAGGAAGTAGCAGCAGCTCTATCCCACGTGCTTCGTTCAGCATGACGCCGGTATCTGAGTACCGACCTGGCTCCATAACTCCAGGTTTCGGGCCGACGAGCGCTTCCACCCAACATTACTCCCTCGCCGTTCCCATCGTCGCCGCCGCCTGAGTATTGCCGGACTTGGATAAACGCCCCGGATCCTGCGGACCAGTTCGTCGTGCCCGCTCCAACACAGCGAAGCCCCCATCAACCGGGTATCGAGGTCATTCCCAAACGGCATCTTACAGACAAGGACAAAAGTTCTGAGATACTCCATATCGACACCTCGCCGACAGCAAGCTATGTGGCGACGAAACACAGCAACAAACTTGTCAAGATATGGTCCATTCCCAAGAACGCACTACATGGGACGATCAAGATCACATCATACGTGCAACCTCGAGTGCGGTCTCGCGAGTACTTTATCCGCAGCCACGCCATCCTGTCCGAGAACGCCACGCTGATCGGTATCACCACTCACTTCGGGCTCACCCTTGAGATTTGGAACTTTGCCAAAGGCGGTAGCGGGGCGAAGAAGGTACAAGTCATTGAAGAAGCACACCGGTGGGCAGCCAGCCAGCGGGATGCTTTCCATAATGACTACGCCGGGCTGGCCGTCTACCGCCCCAAGAACGATCGCATCGACCGCTTCTTCCTCTCACGCCACCCCAACTCCAAAACCCCCTTCCGCGAGGACCCCAACCATTCGATCGAGCTCCGCAAGTCCAACCTCCCCTTCCTCCCGAAATTCCCCGAGCTCGCCTACAGCTCCGACTCCCCCATCCTCATAGCCGCCGCCAGTCCCCGACCCGGCGACCCTTCCCCGCCCCAACTCAACCATCCTCATCGCCTGGCACATGAAGCCCGTCTCGGACAGCAAGCTGCACGCGCAGACCCCCGACCAGTCGCACAGCTCTCTCCCCGACGAAGAGCGGCACAAGCCCTACCGGGTCTGCGTGCCCGGCTACCCAGCCCTGCAGTCCGCCCTGCCCGCCAGCCTCGCCTCACACGGCGACATTGCCGTCTCCATCTGGATCCCAGCCGCCACCACCACCGACACCACGGACACCACCTCTCCAGCAGCTAGCCAACCCCCCACTTCTACACCTTCCCCTTCACCACCCCCAAGCCCAAAGCCCCTCAACCACCACCACCCGCCCAACCCCAACCCGAATCCAACCCCCCTCCGCGCCTAATCCTAACCTGGCACCTCACCGCCAACACCACCCAGCTCATGCGCATCCCCGCCCACGCCCAAGCGGCCATCTCGCCGGACTGTGCGCGCCTCGCCTACTGCGACACCCACACCAACCACTTCTCCATCATCAACCTGGCGACCGCGGCCGAGGTGTGGCGGTGGCCGGACGCGGCGCGCAGCGCGGGGTTTGCGTCGTTTGGGCAGCTGGAGAATTTGGGCGGGGTGCGGGCTTTTGAGTTCGCTAGCTTCGCTTCAAGGGGGGTTGAGGAGGGGGGTGGGAATGCTGGGGAGGGGGAGGGCTCTGCGAAGGGGAGTGGGATGTTGGTGGTGGGGGATGCGGTGGGAGGGGTGGGGGTTTATGAGGTTGGGGAGAAGGGGGTGGTGGGAGGGGGGGAGCAGCGGTTTGAGTTAGGGGTGGGAAGTGAAGTGGCGTGGGTGGATGTGGTGGATGAGGAGATTGGAAGGGTCAGGGCGAGAAGGGGGTTGGGGGGGTGAGATTGTGTTGTCTTTGAGAAGGGGGGCGCGGTGTAATGGGGAACAATGGGGATGGTCTGGTATTGAGGTGACTCTTTCTGGAGTGCAGTTTACTGTTCGATTCTCTCGAGATCTTTTGGTTTGTTGAGGTGGACTCTCAGTACATGTTACCGTGAGGTGCTTTTTTCCAACTACACAACTATTTACTCAGCTAGTGTTCAATTCTCTTTCTTGAATCCTTTCTGCAGCTTCCGCAAACGCAATAGCCGCCGCTTTACCAGCACTTATCGGCCGAGGAGGCTCGCTGGACGTATCCCCTTCGTCAATCGGAGTATATTCTTCAACCGGTACCCCATCAATCACAGTATCGACCCCCGCCACGACTTGATAACTTGCGCCTCCGACCCTAATCTTTGTCGTTTCTTGTCCTTCCACATTGACCGGCGCACTCCCAGAGAGTATAACAACGCCGTGGCCTCCAACTATCGTCCGGCGGGCATGAGGACCTCGTTTCAGAACTTGTGCGTCGAGAGAGTCTGTGGCCCGTAGAGAGGCGGGTGGGCTGTGGTTTACGGAGGACTGCTGATGGCAATGGTTAGCTAGGAAATTCCCCCTATCCTTGGAACTTATCACTCGAGGTACTCACTTTAATAGGTCCGACAGAATATGGTAATGCATGCGCCAAAACCACAAGTAGCAGCATAAGCGGAACACAGTGGCGTCCTAGGTACATCATCCAGAGGCCCCGACAGAGCGGGGCAGATGATGGGATGATGGGACCTGTTGGTGAAATCGCTACAGTGCCAGAATGAAGCTGTCAGAACAAACCAAAAATGTTGAATAAAGAGCGTCAGTGATGGGAGGTTTGCCATGTACGAAACGCAACCAAAACGCACATCCCCCGTGCCTCGAGACCTGGGGGCAACGCAAGGGTTAGGGATAGAACAAGGTTACCCCTGAGTCTCCTGACCCCTGATGTTGTTACCCCTGAAACATCAGCTGAGCCAGACCAACACCAGCGCCATTCTCTTCATGATAGGGCAACAGCATACGGAGGGCGAAGAGGGTCTTGTATTGTCTATCTTGTATGGAAGACGACGGCTTGCCCAATGCAAAGGCCGTCGGGTCCTCCACGCTCTGTCCTCCGGAGTTTTTTTTGATGATTTTTACATAATGCCGCCCTGCCTGTCCTCTGGGTACAGCTCACATCCGTGGGTCGCCTCCCCAGACGTGGAAAAGCAGGTCAGTTTTTTGTTGTATTTTTTTTGTTTTTTTTTTCGTTGTGGAATGGCCCTGATATTGTGTCAAAGTGTCAGGTTCCAAAAAAAAAGTCGTGGCAACGGTTGTAGCCGGATACGCATTTCCCGTTCGCCGGACAAAGGCTAAAACAGGTGGTGTCGGCCGGCTCTCGTCCCCGTTGTTTCGATGGCCCTCCTGGCAGTTGCTACGTCGTTGACTGTGATGATAGTCGAACCGGATACCGTCCGGCGCGGTTGCTGCGCCGCAGCGCAAGCCCGAAAGAAGCTTCTTCGCATCGCAAACCACACCATCAACCCCCCCCCCCTCCTCACGCCAACGCCACCAATCGTGAGTGTGGTCATCCATGCAACCACTGGGCATCACCCGAACCACCAAATTTGACCCTCTCGAAACCACCACCACTCCATGTACCGATGGCCAGCCACCCAAGCTCCCATAAACCCTCGTTTGCTTGACCGGCCGGTCCTCGCATCACAACCTTCCTCCTTGTTCTCCCCCAGTTCCGTTGATTTGGTAGTCGAGGAACCCTGAAGCTCACACGCTTCCCGTGCGGTACGGACAGCGAGATACCGGAAAAGAAAAGTTTGCGTGCCCGTGTTCCCTTCTTCCCCTTCCCCCCCATGCGCCAGCCACCGACCAGAAGAGATAGAAATGGCCAAATAAAGGCCACAAACAAAGCCCCGCCCCCAATAACAGCACAATAACGCCGTTTATATGAATCCCTGATCCCCCCGCCCAAAGACCCCAGACTCCGTCGTCAAAGGAAAAACCGCCCGTCCACTAAAGAGGCCACGAGACTCCTGACCATGCCACCCGCGCCTCATTCGTTTCTGTGCCTTTCGTTTTGTGGGAAGAAAAAGGGCCGTGAAGAAGTCCTGAAGCCGCCCAGCCGCATCTCCAACCAATCCATGGTGGTTGCATTGCGCATGGCCAGATAGTGAAGGCCGGCTAGGAATGTTCGTAAGATGAGGCCCAAGGAGGGCAATGAGCGCAGCGCAAAATGCGGCAGCTCGGACATCCCCAAAAAGTAGTAAAGATCTGGAAAGCCCATGCGCGGTTAGGCCTGAAACCTTTCACCGTCTACAGCGTCCATACGACGCCGAGAAGACGGATATCGATTGTATCGATCATAAGAGATGGACGTCGAAGATCGGGCGAGAACAGCGGAGAAATTAGAGATATGATACAATCGACGTCGCCGCTGATGCGACTGCTGACCGACGCCAGAGGCCTGGAGAAGAAAGTCCTCCGGTGAGTAGTGATCGTCGAGAAAATGTCGTGAAGGATCGGATAGCCGGGCTGCTCTTTGTCGGGAGGGATACGCGTGGGAAATCGAGGAGTAATATATACAATCCGAAACAAACAAAACAAAACCTAGCCTCTTAACTCGTGACAACGCCTCCTAATGCCCCAAAAAGATGCGAAAGAGAGAGCCCTAGCCCTGCTGAGCAGGGGATGTCGGCTGGCTTTGGCCCTGCGCACGGCCACCGCGCTGGCCGCCGTAGTTCTGGCGCCCACCCTGCCCTTGCTGGAAGCCGCGGGAACGTCCGCCACGGTGGCCACCAGAGGGGCCGCGATTGCCTTGGAACCCTCCGCGGCCTTGAGGGCCAGACTGACCAGAACCGTTTTGGCGGCCCTGTCCCTGCCAGTCGCCCGACTGCGGTACTGGGGATTGAGAGTCTACCGGCGGGTTCTGCGGTTGTTGTTGTTGGTGTTGATGATGATACTGCTGTTGGTGCTGAAGTTGGGGCGGTGGCTGTTGCTGCTGCTGTTGCTGCTCCTGCGGGGACTGCTGCTGTTGCTGGATCCCAGCAGGCTTTAAATTGGAGATGGGCCGCGGGATGCTCTCAGGATTCTCGTACACGTAAAGGCTCTTGTCGATGGTCTGGGGGATCGGTTGGATCTCGGTGCCGAGGTCGCGCTCAATGTTGTACAGGTTGAACCTATCGTCCCAGTTGATCAGGTTGATAGCCAGACCAAGATGGCCGTACCGACCGGAGCGACCAATTCGGTGAAGGTAAGTCTCAGCATTCTTGGGGAAATCGAAGTTGATGACGACGTTGACGGCCTGGATATCGATACCGCGAGTCAAAAGATCGGAGCAGACGAGGTTACGGCAGACGCCATTGCGGAAATCGTGGAATACGCGGTTACGAGCCTGCTGCGCCATCTTGGCATGGCTGTAGAAGCACGAGTAGCCGAGTTCGGTGATCTTCTTCGCAAGAAGCTCGACGCGGTTGGTCGAGTTGCAGAAGATGATGGACTGGTTAATCTGCAGCTTGGAGAAGAGGGTGTTGAGGCAGTGGACCTTCTGCTTCTCTTCGACGTAGGCGTAGTATTGCGTGATTCCGCGCAGGGTTAGTTCGTCCATGAGGTTAATCTCGTATGGGCTGGTCATGTTCTTGTCTGAGAAATCCTTGACCGAGATGGGGAAGGTGGCGGAGAAGAGCATGACCTGGCGATCCTTGGGATGGAACCTCAAGAGCTGCTCAATGACCGGGGTGAACTCGATAGAAAGCAGCTTGTCGGCTTCATCCATGATGAACATGGGGCATTCGCTCAGGTCCGCAACCTGCTTGCCCGCCAAGTCGAGAATTCTGCCGGGAGTTCCGACCACAATATGGACGGGATCCTGCAACCGGACGATATCGTCGCGAAGCCCAGTTCCACCCGTTGTAACCATGACGTTGATACCAAGATGTTTTCCGAGCGTCTTGCAAACCTGGGATGTTTGCATTGCCAGTTCGCGGGTCGGGACGAGGATAAGACATTGGATTTTGGAGACCTTGGGGTTGATCTTCTCGAGGGCGGGGATGACGAAGGCGGCGGTCTTTCCAGTGCCGTTTTTGGCGCGCGCAAGGATGTCGCGACCGACAAGAGCTACCGGTATACTCTCTTCTTGAATCGGGGAAGGCTTCTCGAATCCAGCCTCGAATATGCCCATCAGCAGGTCACGCTTGAGGCCAAAGTCTTCAAAGTCCAAGCCCTTCGTGTTAGTTACGTCCTGCGTGCGGTCGCAGAGTTAGAACAGATAAACATGCCAAAAACACTGAGCGTCACCATACCTCTGTCTGTTGCCTTGTGTCCTTGGCCGGAAGTCTCAGGTTCAACTTCCAGTCCTCAGAACTCGATCCATCGCTAGCCTATGTTAGCTTGCTTCAAGAACACGTGGGGTAATAGCGACCAACTTTAGCGTCGAGGCCTTCAGCTTGTCAATGAGGCTCTCTGCCATTGTGAATTGTGGGGTTATGCGCAACAGTGCGGTGTGTCGAGTATTCCGAAAAAGAAGTTGAGTCAAATCACCGAACTCGACTTGAGAACGTGGTGGGAAATTTGGGTTTTTAGAATTCCGGTGTGCTATACTGGCCGGTCACGGGTACTCGACGGAATAATATTCTCTTCGAAGCTCGCAGTCGTGGAAGTTGTAGTGTTCGGCCGGATAATAGGATGTTGTCTGACCCCTGGTGTTTTGTTTGTGCGATCGTGGGATTTGCTTGGGTTGGTCGGTGGAAAATGCAGATTCGGCAGCAGATATCGTTTTTTTTCTTTTCGGTAGAATTTGGTATTCTTGGTGCGGTTACTTGTCGTTTATTCGAGGCGGCGGCGGGGAAGGTGAAATAGTTCGCAGGGCTGAGCCGTCTTTTGCGCTCTTGCCAAAAACTTGAGGTGCAGGTTTTAGTACGTATTGTTGACATCACGTGTTGGGCCACGTGTGGAGCCGAATGTGGCAAAAGTGCTTCGAGCTTCCAACTTCCGACGAACTCCGAGTCAACGAGACTCGAACTCGAACTCGATCTCGATCTCGATCCAACCCGAATCGATATCACCACCCAGACTCGTTTGTCAATGTACTGCCGGCGACACTATGCTGTCGGACTTTACAAGCATGACCGACCCAACCTAGAACAATGTTTTTCAACAAACGAACGAAAGCGCTCTGCCCGCGCAGCGCCACAGTGTTTTGCGCGCACCCCTCGTCCTTGATACCCGCACCATGTCGAGCCCAATGTTGTTCGGCTATCGCACCCACTTTGAGCGGCGCACAACAACGGATATCCTACGCAACAGTTCAGGGTGGACAACAGGGCGACAAATACCACCGTGGCGATCAATTGAAATGGCCGACATCGGCGAATCCCACCCCTTACGAGGTCCTCGGGCTTTCGCGGGGTTGCCCCTACAGCAAAGCCCAGTACTTCCGACTTGCGAAGCTTTACCATCCCGACCGTCGGCACCATGCCCCTGACGACGGCATTTCACATATTACGAAACTTGAGCGATACCGCCTCGTCGTGGCGGCCAACGAGATTCTCAGCAACCCGCAGAGAAAGCGGATGTACGATCTCTACGGTTTTGGTTGGGCAGATCAGACAGACTCGCAAACACGGCACCGCGAAGCGGACCGCAAGTGGAGGAACGAGCCTGGTAATGCCAGCATGAACGCAACGTGGGAGGACTGGGAGCGGTGGCACCAGCAGCGGAACGGGGGCGGCGAGAAACAGGAAGAAGTGTTTACCTCCAACCTCGCCTTCATGACCGTCATTTCAGTCATTTTAATCATCGGCGCGTGGAGCCATGTCACGAGGGCTGGCACAAATTCGGTCAATTTGCTCGACATGCAAGACCAGAAACATGCCGCCATCAGCCGGGAGCTGCGGGAGCGGCGGAACCAGAGGGTTGGGCTGGACCGAGAGGGCAGAGTCGAGAGTTTCTACGACAACGAGAGTTTGAGAAATGGGCATATGATCCGCCCGGGCATGGTCTGCCGGCCCCAGAGGATAGCAAAACCCCGGACTAAGCTTGGTAACGAGGCAGGCAATCCAACGAGGCAGCCACATCCTCTGCGGTTTTGAACCTGCATTTCATGGCACACATTGCCCCGGCCCATCATTCGGTCCTAACTACAGGCCCACATATCATCAATGCCCTACATGTCAATGATGGCAGCAACAGCGACCCCACCCCCCGAGCGCTCAGACCTTGCAGCGTATTCGAGCATGTGCCCACCGCATCCATTTCTACCTAGCACGCAAGAACGATGGCCGAATAAGACAGGGGCGGTGCGCACGTGCGGGTTGGCAATCTGTCGGTTGCAAAGTGGTAGGGGTTGCGGGTGGTTACAGCCTTCTGTCATAAACGTCACGTCTGACAGAGGGGTCGAATTCACACACCCACAATTCAGGTAGCTTACAAGAATACTCAAGATTGCAACGATGACTGCCACGCACACTAGACAGTCCCGGGTCTAGACAATAAGATGCTGATTCCAAGTACTGAACGATTCGGTCTTCCATACTCACCTTAACTGAGGAAGAATCAGGCGTGCTCCCACCGTCTTTGAATCATGGACCTTGTAAGTTATACAAGCAATACCAGACTGCGGGCTGGAGATTTTGCCACCTGTCCAGGCACCTTTCCCCGTTTAGTAGATACAAAGAACCCCCGTTCATCCAAATCCTCCTCCTCCTCAAAGGACCGGTGACGAAACC